CGGAATGGAATGGGGCTGGCTGGCTGACTGGCTGACTGGCTGGTGGCCAAGAGGCCTCGCCAACACAACGATGGCAAAAGGGACCGCCTTTGAGGAAATCCGTTCGTCGGCAGGTCGCGAAGTCGCAGTCGACGAAGGTAACGATGTCCTTCACTGCATTGTTTTCCAACCGTGCGAGACCCGCAAGAAACCGTGTGAGCGACCACTTACAGTGGGCATTCCCCCCAGGGAAAACCACTTTTTCCTGCGAACGCAGGGTCCACTGCTGGCGAGTGTACTGTACTGTATGGTATAGCGTGCGCGGAAAACAGGGGAAAAGTATTTTTCGCAACACGGCTTAAGTTTCTTGCCGCAATAACAAATCAGTTCGGGCCGGACAATCGCGCCAACCGCAGCACTCACTCGCAGGGAAATTCACTGGGAAAGTTGGAAAACTTCGCGCCAGTCGATGATTTCCCAACAATTAATACGAACTACCCATCCATTCATCCATCCAGATAATTCGCTAATTCTCTAATTCGCAAATTCGAAGCTCGAAATGCTGAACGAAACGCCTAGTAACGCGGTCATTTATACGGTGGATCTGGCCCAGGACCCGTTCATCGATGGCGACAAGTACTTCTTTAGGTAATTAGGCACAAGATCCCATTATAACTTATCGGCCGAAGTCATCTGCCAGCGGGTAAATAAACGCACTGACCTTCAAGGGGCCTTCCCCGGGCCAAGAATGTGCGGAAAACTTACTCCATTCATTGCGACTGTCTCGAAGTTTTGTTTGAATTGCGAACGGAACCGACCTCCAAATTGCGTTTGGTCGTTGGCTCGTGCACAACGGAATTACAGGCGTTCTGGCCAAGCACTATATACATATATACATATATATAATATATACACACGTGAACACTTTCATTTACCAGTCACGGGCATGGACCCTTAAAGAAATTGTGTAAGCAAAACTCTCGTGACACATTTTAGTGGCTGAAATATTCAAAATCGACCCAAATGGCGAGACTTCATTATGCCAAGATTAAAGTTCAAAAGCCAAAGATCAAAGCATCACACTCCACTCACTTTTGCACCTGCATTATTCATAACGTTGGCATACTAGATGCGACACACATGGGCCCGTGCTAATGGTAATTCACTTCCGAAGGTGATTATATTCCACGCCAGCAAGGTGCGGAAGTGATTCGGGACTATCCCACAAACTTGAACTTTCCAATCATACAGCACTTCCGCCGCTTGGCACTTGGCCAATCCCTGAAGCCATAAAAGCTTATATCCGGTCGCCTGATAGTCAAGGACAATGGGGTGGCCAAGCCATGGCTGCAAGTTACTTTTCACCACATGTCATAATCTTTACATTATTTAGACTTGAGGCTTTTGAAAAGTAACAAAAAAAAACAGTTCATAAACAGAAGAAATTACAATTTCACTTCCCACTAAAGTTACAACGAACAATATTGCTTATGTAAATAATTCAACTTTAAGTACAGTGCGTTTTAGGTGATTAGATAAACCTAATTGCTAACGAATATAAAAATATATGTGACAATTTGTACAGAATACTGATGTATCATCCATGGTATTTCATAAATCTATACAAAATTAGTTATAACTTTAACATACTTTTTTATCCCACGTGTTTCAATTAAAGAGCTTTAATGTAAGTTCTATTTTTCTTAGATCTAAAATTCCATTGTAAAATTGTTCAATGAATTTTTATTATGCATCTTGTTAAGAAGTTACACTTTTAACAGCTTAAAATGTATTATTTATTTATTTATTTTAGTGTAAAGTATGGTGTTTTAAAGTGAATATGGTTAGAGTTCAGTAAATATTTTATTACCGTTTAACTTCGTCAAAGATTTTAACAATATTTTTTGTTTATAGGTTCTTAAAAATTGGTAACCTTTCTTATCACCACTTTTCGCTTCATTTCTATGACTTTACGGCATAGAGTGTGGAGTTTTATAGGGATTATGGTGGAGTCCAGTAAATAGTATTATTTATATTTTATTACCCGCTAGCTCTTTTAAAGATGTTAATGCAGTTTTCTTTATCATATTTTGAATACAACATATTTATCCTTTCAAATGACTTACCTTTCCTCTCACTCCTTTTGAATCAGAAGCAGCAGTCAGGAGTTTCTCGAGGACAAGGATAATGCCAAAAAGGGGGGTCTTTGCGGATGCTGCTCCAAGCTGTTCATGCCCTGCCGCCGATCCCGCTGCTCCCGTTGCTGTCGGCGCCGTGAGCGCAACCCATCCGCCGAGGATCAGCCCGTGCTGTGGAGCGGCCACAGCAGTGCCACCACGGCCACCAATGTCCAAGTGATTGATGAGACCAAGCCGAAGCGCAAGAGGGCCACCGACTGGCTGAAGTCCAGCTGTTGCTGCTGCCGCAGCTGTCGCAAAAAACCGGCCTCCGCGGAGGATCCTTTCCAGGCGGAAGTGGCGCCTCGGGCCACGCAGGAGGCCAACATGAGCACGGGACCAAGGGCGCGGGGCAAGTGCGGCCTCTGCCTGAGCAAGGTGTTCTGCTGTCGCGCGGTCAACAAGGTGGACCCCACCACGGGCGACGAGACGGAGCTGAAGAGGTGCTGCTTCTGCATACCATGTCGTCGGGGCAATCGACCCAACAAAAAGGGCAGCACCGTGTCCTGGCGCGATCAAGATCCCGAGTTGGGCATCAAGCCCACCGAGTCCTCGGTTGTGGAGGGCGCCTCCGAGGCGGCTATGTCAGCGACGGCGGATGTCGAGGAAAACCAAGTTAAGGAGTAAGTTTTTGGAAAACAGCCAAAAAGTATCTCTAAAATTTGGAAAAAAAAAAAAAAAAACATTCCAAAAAATCAAAAGAAAATGGGTGGTTTCAAAACATATTTCCTAACGCAAAATAAGAGAAACATTTTTTAAAAGGATTTGACTTTTAAAATATATATACTAGTTTGCATTAAGTCAGTAGCATTTTGAAATTAGCTAAAAAGTATTTCAAACACTTGGGAAAATAAAAAAAAAACTCATTCCAAAAAATCAATAAATCGTAACACAAATTAAGAGAAACATTTTTAAAAAGGATTTGAGTTTTAAAATATATATTATATACTAGTTTGCTTTAAGACTGATATATACAATTTAAGAGTATATCATCTATTCATGTTTCCGGAAATTAAGCTTTTACTAAAGTATACAAATAGTTGTTCAGTTATACAGACCAAACAAAATATATGTAAATATAGTTAACTTAATTAACTACTTGGAGCACAGGGATAAATACCAACTAGATTTTAACTCAAGTTATAACTAATTTCAGTCAACACTAAATCATTAACAACATTCCTTATTAAATTTTTGCGGCTTTGAAAACGTAAGCGCTGCTTGGATTTGGGATGTAAAAAGTACTCATGGAGACTAGTTACAAGCGTTTAGGGTTTTTCCTGGACAATGTTAATTAATTAACGTTTTAAGTACATGAAAGGAAAAAAAAAACTTTTTTGAAAGACTGCACCTAGACCATACGTAAATTATATGTAATTCATTTGGAATGTTAAAGACATACCAAATGGTACTTTTTATATGTTAATACATAAATATCCAAATTTTTTGTACAATTCTTGGTCTGCATTCTGTAATTCAATGTTTTGAAAAAGAGGCTTGTAAATTTAACCTCCATGTGGTATTTCGTGAACCTGAAATTAGAATAGGTTAAAGGGATGTAGCCTTTTTAAATCACTGTAATATCCAAGCATAAGCTATACTAGGGAATCCTTCAATGTAGTTTGAACTTTCAGAGTTTGAAATCCGACTTGCAGTTACATCTTCCATGTTGCACGTTGATATATTAATATATCTATTGATTTCAGGGGATGCTGCAAGCGTTTCTGGCTGATGTTGCTGTGCTGTCGCAAAAAGAAGCGTCGCGAGTCGAATGCCCGAAGGCAGAGCATCAAGGCGCCGCCACCCAGCGAAGCAAGTATTTTGATTAAATAACGAAAGAAATGGTCTAAAACTCGTTTATTTACAAGCAGGATACGCGTAAGAAGCTTCACGTGGACCTGGTAGAGTATGCATCCAAAATGAAGGGAGCCATTCCAGTGTTGCCGCTGTATTTGGCCTGGTTCTGCGCCTTCTGCAATGTAGTCTTTCCCGGTCTAGGTGGGTTGTCCGAAAAGAAATAATCCAAAAGATATTAAGCTTATGATGGCTTTCCAATTAAGGAACCCTACTCTCTGGACTCTTCTGCCTGTGCGTGGGCATTCCCCGCTTCTCGCAATACGACAGTGCCCGTGCCAGGATCGGATCCTTCATCATCAACATTATTGTGGCCGTGTCGCAGTTCTTCTGCGTGCTCTTCTGCTTCGTGGGATGGGGCTGGTCCATCTGGTGGGGCACCATAATGCTGAAATGTGCAAGTAAGCGGCAAGTTTTCCCTTCTAAACTAAGAGCACTCGAACAAAATGTGATTCCCACTTTCAGAGAAACTGAGCAAGATCAAAAAGGTGGAGCGTTTGGAGCTGGAGGAGGAGCAGCGCCAGGCGCAACTGGCGGAGGCAGCCAGGAACGGTGACGTTGAGGCGGCCAAGACATAGTCCTCCGAGTTCGGTTACAACTAAGTTGCTTTTTATACCATTGTGTACATATAATTTTGTACAAAACATGTAGATCCCACAAAAACATGCACTTCCACATGAACTTCCAGGTTAAGCGAAATGGAACAGAACTTCCTTTTAAACGTGAAATACATGAATGTATATGTATTAGAATCATTAAACTTCCACTAAAAGATTAGGGTTATTGTTTTTTTTAAGCTGCAGTTATCTTTGCTTAAAAATAACTCCGATTATTGCTGCAATATCTGCAAAAATCTACTTTCTTTACAGAAGAGACAGTGTGTCGTACAATGGTTTTCAAATTCTTAGAAAATATGTATATAACATATGGCGCATCTTAAATCCCTCCATCATCCTTCAGATATGTCTTTTAGTCGCTAGACCGGGACCTTTACCCTCTGATTCCACGAATTCTATTGGGTGAGTGAAAAGTGAGAGTAAAAAGTTAGTCTTCATCAGAGATAACTTATGTACCTATCCATGAGCAAGTTCAGTGTACTGGGCTTAAGAATTAGCAGTACAAAAGTGATAATACCAAGAGCGTAATGGTAATAATCGGCTATCTTGAGAGCCTCCTGCCAAAAGCTGTTGAGCCGTACCCAAAAAGAAACAAGGTTGAAAATCCACGACACTCCCATTATGACAGAAATGCGCAGAAATAGAAGGTTGCTGTATCAGGGAAATGGAATGATTACTAAGCATAGTTTCCAAACTAAAAAGTAATAAGCGCTTACGACAGTTTGTTGAATTTGACGCAGGTCATCGTGCCTTTAAACGAGTTAAGTTTTCGCCTAACATTCACAATGTGGATTGCTGTCAGTGTAAAGAAAGCCACATTAAAGGTATTTATGGCCAGTAAGGGTCCGTGATAGTAAATCCAGGCAGACCAATTGTCAACTGTAAAGGAAAGAAATTAGTTGCTTAATAAATATCTGATTTACAAAAGTTGCCATTAAAACTCACTGTTCACCGAACAATCCATATATCCAACCAAGGGCATCCAATCCCATTTGTGGGGATCCTTTTCCCAAAAATGATTCATCAAAAAGATGACTCCAGTCGGGATAGCAGCAGAGCTCCAGACAAAAACGCTGTAGCCCAGAAACCGATAACGAGGTTCGTCGCGACTGATCGACATCGACTTTAATTCCTTCCACAATTGATAGCTGATAACAGAGTTCCAGAGATGATAAGCAAAATCAAAAAAGTAAAGATTGTATCCTGCAAGAGATTAACAAATTTAAGTAAATGACCCATGATTTGAATTGATTTTTGACTAACCTGCTAAGGAGCAAATGTTGTCCAATAAACGAAAGCTGTCTAGCATTGAAATAAGACAACTCATGATCAAACTGAATAGGCTGCAGATAATGCATCTGCCGATCACATTTCGGAGTTTCTTTACATATAGATACACTGCTATGGTGAGGATACAGCAAACCATCGAAACCATCGTGACTAAAAGAATTGAAACAGAGAATCAGAGAATCAGAGAATCAGAGCTTGTAGGCAGAGTTTTTTTCAACTTACTTTCTCGAGCTGCTGGTCTTAATTTCGCTGAGCACTTGCCCAAAACAATCCGTATCGTTTTGTTGAGGTCTGACCAAATCTGATGTGGATACAGGCAGTAATCTACTTGGTTAAGGGTAGTGTTTCTTGAGTGGACACGTAATCTTCCGTCCTAAAAATCTCAAGTTAGAAAGGAACATGGATATCTTATCTTAGAGCAAACCTTGAACAACATGTAGTCGTCTGTCTTCAGGCTGAGCATCTCAACGCACTCAAAGAATGGTGTTCTCTCCATAATATTAAGGCTAAGCATCGTTATTAACTTTCTTTCCAACTTTCCATGTTTTCCAATCCTAAACACGAATTTGGTTTCAATCTCCTTGATCAAGCCATCGCCGCATTTGCCACCGGCCAGTAAATTCTTGCGTGGGCAGCAAAACCTGATGCTGGGGCTCCCTCCACGAAAATCCATAACTTTTCTGAGTGAAAAATCATGGAAATTAATTTTACCTCGAATTGCCCTTTTTTCAGCGGAGTGGTATATTTCCGCCACTGATTTATTCAGGAAAAATAAAAAAAGAGCAGTGCCGTAAAATTTTAAAGGCCCCATCTTAAATCAAGAATCATTCTTCACGAAAACAAAAATTAGACTGACTCCCGGTCCGCCAACATTATAGTTTTATCTTGAAACCCAGTTGTTCAAAATCAACGGCACAGAAACTTATCCCAACAGATTGCGTTACCATTGGGATTCCACGCGATAAATAAATGACAGGCAATAAATATTTATAAATTACACTAGCCCCAAAAAAAAAAAAAAAAAAATATTTGTCCCAAGCCGCTGATGGCAATTTCTTTTAGAGTTACCCCAAATCTCTGAAACGGACCCTGTTTATTAAACGTTTGCCTTAATGTATTTTATTATAAATCTCGAGCTCTGACCATCCCATGTAGCTAGTTAACTCTTCTTTTACGGTCAAGGGGAATTTTTGATGTACTGAACTGCTATCATAAAATCTCAAAAAAAAAACAGTCGAAAAATCAAAAAGCATTAAAAAGCGTAGAGTAACAAATTTTCATTGAAAACCAGATTTTTTTGCGGATTAAATATATATATTTTTATTTTAATTAACTCATTCAAATGAATAAATTTTCATTAATTACAAATTATAAATAATTTTAAAGTCTTGTGCGCTTTAGTCATGGAGATCTGATTTAGGGTTTAATTTTACTATTTATTACACCATTTCGGTGTAGACTAGTGCTATAATTGTTAAACTTTTGCACACGATTCCTCTACATTCGACCATTTTTTGAACTTGAATCCTAACAATTGCAACGTTGATAACGTTGGTGTAAGGGAAGCATCCTGCAGATTGCTTTTAAACTGAGTGACTAGTTTACTTTAGAGGACCGTAAATTATTACTTCAATGCGATGCAATCTTCTGACTGAAATTATAATATCCTCTGCAAGGATATACAAATCGGTTCTTCGTTGTGTAAAAATCGGTTGACTCACTAAACTGAACGATTCAAATCTGACATTTTGGTCCTAAAGAGACAATTGTTCTTGGAGATTGAAAATCGGTCAACTGTTATTGGATAGCTCTGTTAATTCCTTTACAAACCGAGCTGTGATTGATCAGATAGACGTAATTTCTTCTAGACAAAATTATTAATGATTTCCTTCTAAAGCATTGTTCAAATGTGGCGCTCAAAATAACTGTAATGGGCAAACTAACAGTATTAGGAGTCCCCCTACTTATTTTTACGCGGTGTGACCCTATTTCCTTTGTTTTCATGGGCTTATGCATTTTTCGCAGTGCGGTCACACCGATTCGTTCTTTATAGTACGGCGTTCATTAAAAAAACACGACGTCAACTTGCGAATTTCACACAATTCGGCCGTAAAAAATGTCGCACCTCGTGAAAATGGAAAACGGTCAGAGCCAGACCATCCAGGAGATGTTGGGCTGCATCGAGCGGTGAGTAAATCGATAATTCCCGGACCAAGAGTCAGCTCAGGAACATAACCTCGCTTTTCCCGCAGCTACAATCCGGATCATCTGAAAACACTGGAGGCCTATGTGCAGGATCAGGCGAAGAACAACACCTACGACTTGGAGGCCAATCTGGCCGTGCTGAAGCTGTACCAGTTCAACCCGCACATGCTCAACTTCGACATCACGTACACGATCCTGCTGAAGTCACTGACCAGCCTGCCGCACACGGATTTCGTGATGGCCAAGTGCCTGCTGCTGCCCCAGCAGATGAAGGACGAGAACGTGCAGACCATCATCGATCTGGCCGACATCCTGGAGCGCGCCGACTTCACCCTGTTCTGGCAGCGGGCCGAAGTGAACCGCACCATGTTCCGGCACATCTCCGGCTTCCACGACTCCATTCGCAAATTTGTGTCGCATGTGGTGGGCACCACCTTCCAGACCATCCGCAAGGACCTGCTGAAGGAGCTGCTCGGCGGCATCGAGGACTCGACACTGGAGAGCTGGATCAAGCGCAACGGCTGGAAGCACCAGGGCCAGGGCCTCGTCGTGGTGGCCACACAGGACGACAAGATCAAGACGAAGAACATCACGGAGAAGATCGAGTTCGACAATGTCGGCGCCCTGATGGCCCAGTGCCTGTAGGATCCCCCTTCGCGGCGTTCAATAGTACTTGTCTAAATTTCTACGAATAGTAATTAACGGAAACAAAATAAAAGCCTGTCCGTACAGCTAACTAGTTTTTGTTTATTCTCGATCGGAGCTGCTCGCCAGGCTGCTCCCACCTCACAATCAGACTTCCGGAACTACCGACCCTAACACGTACACGTACAGAACTAATAAAGCACTATCCTATTTATGACTGCTTCTTGAACTTTTTCAATATGGGGAATATCTTGTCGAAGGCATCGTAGATCTCCTGTCGCACCTTGGCGCCCGTGAGCACCACTTTCCCGGACACGAAGATGAGCAGCACGATGCGAGGGCGCACCATACGGTAGATGAGGCCGGGGAAAAGCTCCGGCTCGTAGCTGCTGAAGTTGCAATGGGTCAGCACCAGGCCTTCCAAGCGGATGGGGAACTTGACATCACAGGAGCCGACCATGTTCTGAATCTTGAAGTCGAGGAATTTGGCCTAAAAGCATAAAGAGGTTTGGAGAATCTTCTTCGCAATTGGATGTTCAGTTCTCTTACAGGGAAACCTAGCTTCTGAATGATGCGCGCGTACTTTCTCGCCGCCAATCTGGAGTCGTCCTCGCTCTTAGCCCCCGTGCACACCATCTTGCCGGAGCTGAAGATCAGGGCAGTGGTTCTTGGCTCCCTGATGCGCATTATGACGGCCGCAAATCGCTTGGGGTTGTACTCGGCGTTCCTCGCGTGCAGCGCTATCTTCTTGAGGTCCAGCTTGCAGCACAGATTCACCGTGGACACAATGTTCTGCAGTTGTGGGACAATCCCGGGATCTGCCGATCCCGGCGTGGCAGGTGTCATCGGCGTGGAGGGTCCCATTGTCTGGTGTATGTTGCTGAGGCCGTCTCCGCCGCTGCCCGCTCCCGATCCCGATCCGCCCACACTGCGCTCGCTCATGGGCATCATGTGTGCCATCATGCTCTGCGGTGTCTGGGGCTGCATCATGGACTGCGGGGTGCTCCCACCGCCGCCGGGCGCCTGACTCTGGAGCTGCTGCTGCTGCTGCTGATAGGACGCCGATGGCTGGTAGCTTTGCATTTGCTTGTGGGCCAGCGGGATCGATGGTTCGTGGCCAAAGAGACCGGATCCGCTGGTGTCCGGTTGCTGTTGCTGCACGGAGCCGGAAACCGGGGCCGGCATCACCGGATCCGGCTGCGGCACCGCCGGCGGATGGTAGACCGGATTGGCCACAATCTGCTGGTCTGCCTCCATCTGGTGCAGCGGCGTTCCGATGCTCGGAATCGAGAAGTTGGGGCTGAGCATCTGGTCCATATTGCTGCTGGTCTTTTGATCTCTACGCGGGATGCGGGATTCGGGATAACTCAATTCAATGCAGCTGGGTTGCGGGCACACACTGATCGCGGGTTAATTTGCATGTCCACGGAGCGGGGAAATAAAATAATAATAATGCAGCCGCGTTCGTCGTTGTACCTGTGGCTCCTTCCGTGCGAATGGCAATTGGCCAATGCAGGGTGGCATTTTGGCGTACTTATCGATAACTACGTTACGTGAGGTATTACGTTTTCCCTTACGTCTATTGGCATTTTAAAATTAATTATTTTACAAAAACTTCAAATTAATAATATGTTGGTTTGTGTATGTTGTTGTTTGTGTAATTTAAAAATCAAAAATACAAATCAGCACTGGGCTGATTGCAGCAACTGAAAGTTAACTTCGCTATTTACGTTTTACCTCCCCCTCACGTAACTAGCCTATCGATTACCGAAATGGCGCACTTTTTAAAATTATACAAGATTGCAAGAAATAAACAATTTCATTGTTTACAATGTTAAAAATGTTACCGAAAGTAAAATAAATTGTATATTACATTGAAATTCTCATTTATGCAACTGGTAAAATTATTTTCCGAGGGAGGAAATACGATGTGTCTAATTAATTAATTGGGACTTTTGCATTTTTCATTTGCCAATTAAATTGTAATTAAACTCAGGAACAAAAGTACGACACCGCCCATGCTGAGGCCCAAAGGTGAAGAAGCCAAACTCTTGGCACTTGCGGTTGAGGTATGAGAGTAAGTATTGCCATGTTCGTCGGTGTAGACATGTTGTCCACTTGAGGGCGAATTCTGGAACGTACCTCCCACGCCGGGCACCGTGTAGGGTCCTTCGTTCTGACCCCGTATATAGATGCCATTTCCAGGTGCTCCGAACTGATGGGGGCCATCCCTCCCATCATAATTCTGCTGCGCATTTGAGGCTTAGGGGGAAGAGAGTTCAATGAATGTTCACGGTTCTCGATTCGCACACTCAACTTACCGGCAAACAACAAGCTGCCCACAACAAAAACCATCAAAACAAACGATCTCATGTTGCAGTTTCCAGACACTGGCTCAAATTCAACTGAGAGCAGTCTGCTAATTCAAAATCTATTTATACAAGCCGGGAGAAAACCGAGCTTTTGCCAATTAGCAGCTGAGAATTGGTGACATCACAGCCTACAATGCGAGAATCAGTTCCAGAATTGGAGCTTTTAATAATTACAATAAACATTACAAATAAGAAACAATGTCCCAATAATTCTAATTATGTATATATAAAAATAGAATCACCCTTTTGGCCACAGATACCATTTTGCGCATGCTTTTACCCAGCGCTAATGTGATTTTTAAATTTAGTTCACTAGCTTGGGAAAGAGAAAGCAAAACCAAAGAGTGCAATATACAGAGACATTTATGCATATATAGATTCCGAGTGTCGTTATATAATATGCACTCAAAACAAACGAAAAAACGCGCTAGAGAGACAATATTTCGAAACTACAAATTTCGAATCCTTAAAAAAAAAAAAGCGTTTTCCCCAAACTTAGTAAGTTTTCAGAAGAGTGTTGAACCATTTTGGAACCAAAACCTGCTAAATTCAAGTTCTATCGAAGAATATAGAGAAACAAAAAAAAAAGCGAAATGGAGAAGGTCTGCCAGTTTTTTCGCAACAACTATGTGCTGGCCAACTGCGAGGATGCGATTTACAAGAAGGCGTTCACCCTAAATCTATCCCACTACCAAATGACAGAGGTGCCGGACATCATCGAGCAGTGCGAAACGCTGATGAAACTCTTCCTCAACCAGAACAAATTGAAAAAGGTGGGTGCATCGGTGAATAAGGGAACTAAATAATAAACTCTATTCCATGGACAGATTCCATCCTCCGTTGGCAGCTTGCAGAGGCTACAAGTTCTGACCTTGGACTACAATAAACTGGATGAATTCCCGCTCTGCGTCTGCCGTTTGGTCCGGCTGAAGTTTCTCAACATCAGCTGCAATAGCATACGTTCCTTGCCCCCGGAAATCGGTTATCTGACCCTGCTGGAGACCTTCTGGTGCAATAACACCGGTCTTGAGGAACTGCCCGCCGAGATACGCAACTGCGAGCGCCTCGAGACGCTGGGAGTTCGAGGCAATCCCCTGAAGAGGCTGCCTGATGCCATCGGAGCCCTGTCCTCGCTCCGTTGGCTCACAGCCGAGGGCTGTGAGCTCACGGAAGTGCCATTGACATTGGCACTGCTGGGGAACTTGGTGCATCTGAATCTGAAGGGGAATAGGCTGAGACGACTGCCCAGGATGCTGATGGCCATGCAGAAGCTGCGGTTCGTCTTCCTCAACGACAACCGCATTGATGAGCTGCCCACGAGGTCTCAGCTGGAGGAGCTGCGCACCCTTCACATGCTCAACTTGTCCAAGAATCCCATCAGTCTTCATCCCGATCTGCAACTAATGGCTTTGGTGAGTAGCGAGCAGTCAGTGTCAGTGGTCTGTAGTTTAGATCTTGCACTTTTCCACAGCGCCAGACCAACCTCTATGTGGATCCGCCGGCGGATTCCGCCCAAGCCTGCGACGGCCTGTCCAGTCGGACTAGCCTCAACACCCAGGAACAGCAGGAGGATCAGGCACGGGGCGCCGGACTGGACGTCGACTCCTCCGACTGGGCCAACAGCGTACGCACCAGCGAACTGGACACCACGGACGAGAGCACGCTGGAGAACAACATCGAGGATCTGAGTGTCATGCTGCCGGAAATGTCGCGTTTCGTCACCACCTTTTGAGAGCATAGATGCTAGATGTGCGCTCATGGTCGGTTGTTATGTAGCACTCATAAATCTGTGGTTTATTCTCTACAACTGGGTGTTTTGTACATGTACCTCTAACAATCGTAGCGCTTCAAAATGCACATTGGTTATGTGGAAATGGGGGTTTTATGCGTTTACAGGTTAACTAGACATCTTCTTCATCAGCTCCTCGTCCTGCATCGACATGGCCGTCAGCTTCTTGCCAATCTTCTCGTGAATGTCCAAGTACTTGGCCACGCAGCGATCGATGCAGACCATCTCGCCCTTGCCTGCAAAATGGAGCAATGGAGAGAAATTATTGGTATAGTTAGTACAGTAGGTGATATTTATTTTATCTGAGCTTGAAAGTATATTTTTAATAATTGATATTAAGTAAATGGTATATTCATTTCTGTTAGTAAAGAGTCTATTTAAAATAAACCCTGCTTAGAGGTAATTAATTTGAATATTAAGTTTTCGAAAAAACCAATTAATCCTTTGTGGATGTTCGAAGGTATAGTTCAATTCGATTTTCAAACAGGCAATGAAAAATTGGAAATCATATAACAAATGTTCAATCAATATTTTATTGAAGTGTAAAAAATACACCCCAGATCTGCTATACATTTAAATAAACTCCTAAGTTTTTATCGGAAGTGTTACAAAAATCTTGTACAACAATTTCAGTTGGAATGTACATTAAAGATGTAAAAATTATACCTAATTTTATATTATTTAAGTTAATTTATTAAAATGTATTCACATGGATACATTTAAGTAAGATCTCTATCCAATTAAAGACAACTAGAGGCTTTATTCTAAGCATGTTGATTGCAAGAGTAATGAAACTCATTGAATTTTCGAGAACTGAATGTTCAAAAAATTTTATTTTTGGATGTACTAATTGAAAGCGTTCATACCATTCTTCATACCAAAATTATTATACTACCTTATTTCAATTTTAATGTCTTAGTAATTGAATCTTGTCTGTACCTATGGTAGAATAATGAACTGAGAAAATGTACCTAAGTATAGCTGGGACATTCAACACCTTTGTTCATATAATGGAGTAACATATATGTAGTACTCACCCAACTCCGATTCGGAGTAGCGGGGCGGAATACACTTCTTGTGGCAAGCGTTCGTCATGCGGTTATATAAATCGGACATCATTTCGATCTCCATCTCCTGCATCAGCTGCAACTTGGCCTGGTCGGCGGAACTGATCTGTGGCATGGCCATCTTGGGGTGCTTCTCCTGATGATGCTTATATGGTGTGGTTGTGGATGTGAGTGTGGATGTGGATGTGGGTGCTCGTAGTAGTTAGTAGTCGAATCGCCTGTCCGATGCTGCGGTTGAGTCGTAATCGCCCTGGTTTGCCTTCCTCATGCGCTCACGAACTCGCATGCTCTCGTAACGCCGGTTCTCAACGGATTGCTTTGACAGCACAAAAGCGTACACGCCACCCACGGTCAGAACAGTCCTGAGTGATGCGAAATGTCCATAAACTTGTGTAACTTGACTTAATTGGGATTTAGTACGAACCAACAAACAGCAATTCGCCCTGCGTTGCCCAACGACATAGCCTGCTACGAAAATTTCTACAAGTGACTAACGCGTTTCGACGAAAGGTGCACGGGATTTTTTATCACTGGCACGTGTGACTGTTACGGCATTTTGGGTGTTCATTATCCAATAAGTCACTGTTTTCGGGAAACTGTGATTTAATTATTGAGGTGCTTTGCTTTATACAGAATAACTTTTTTGAAAAACGGGCAAGTTTTTAATTTTTTGTGAAATTAAAGTTAAGTTTATATGCAAATTTAGTGGCCTTTCAATTTGCTTAGGATTCATTGGTGTTTTTTTTTTGGCAAAATTATTTAGAGAATTTCTTTATTTAATTTGTAAAATGTAGTTTATATAATGAATAATTTATTGCAAATGATTTTTTATTACTATCTACATGGGTCGACTTAATAATTTGAGAAAATTCAAATACTATTTATTTTAAAAAGAAATATTCACTATACAGATGGATTTTAACAATAGGCAATATTTTGAAATTTCCATTGGTTAATATTCATTTTATTTGGAGAACTTCTTGCCGTAATTTCTTAAATAGTTTTTTATTGAGGAATTTATTTCGGGAATATTCACGGTGAAAATTGTTCAGTTGAAATCTTACATAGGAATTAATCCGCGAACTTTTAATATTATGTATATATTTTTATTTATAAATTTACAAGTGTTTTTGGCTGTTCCTTTATAATTCCAAACTATAAGTTTTCACAGCTGGACTTGAAACTAAAATGTGTATATTTTAATAAGATTCCAATGAGACATTCCACTACTCACAATTTCTGGTACATTTACTATTAGTATTTCTCTAGTATCCGCTAGAACAATCCCGGCACTCCAATACAAACGGTCACACTAAATTAGACGCTATTTATCCAATTTCGTAATAAAGTCATATTTTATCAATGAACTGAGATAAGGCGAGAGCAGAGCAACCACCAAATGACTTCACAGATCTACAATCAGAAGAAGTTCGTGCCCACGCCGCCCGAGAAGGGTTCCTTTCCTTTGGACCACGAAGGACTCTGCAAGAAGCAGTTCCTGCTCTACGCCAGCTGTCTGCGCAAAAACGCCCAGGATACGAGCCAGTGCCGCCAGGACGCCCGAAACTATTTGGCCTGTCGCATGGACAACAATCTTATGGAGAAAACCGAGTGGTCCAAGTTGGGTTTCCACGAACAGAGCACAGAAACCCCTCAAAAGCAGGCGGAGGAGCAGAAGCACTAGTCGCCATTGGACACCATGAAACCCGAACGCAATGTGATGATAGCGGCCACCGGTAGTGTGGCCACCATAAAACTAGCCCAGTTAATCAAGGAGCTCTCCGACGAGCGCCTGCCCTTCAAATTCCACCTCAAAGTCCTAATCACCGAGGCAGCCAAGCACTTTTTTGAACTAGAGCAAATTCCCGAAAATGGTGGGTCATTTATGTTATAATAAAAGTTGTATTACAAGTGTAATCTGTAGTTTAAGTTAAGAAGATAACGCTAATGGCTAGGGCTAGCATTAATCCCATGTCATTTGGATGGAACCTATTAAAATACCCCTTATATGGTCCAATAGTAGTGGTTTTTCCATGAAGTATGATCATTTAAAATCACTTAAATCATTTTAAAGAGTACTTATAATAAACCAAATAAGTAGATACAATATTCCGTCTGTATTTAAGATCTTGTTTGTCTTATGTTAGGTGACTCATAATTATTTTGTTTATAGTTATTTCACTAGTAACAATTGTATAGAAATCACCTTTAAGGAATCCTAACATTTGATCTATTCAACACCTCACATAAGTCGAAATTTGTAGCAATTCTAACAATGAGTGCCATCTTGCAGTACCCGTTTACCACAATCGCGATGAGTGGATCAACTGGAACAAGCGAGGAGATCCCGTCCTGCACATTGACCTGGGCAAGTGGGCCGATATGCTGGTGATAGCCCCCCTCAGTGCCAATTCCCTCTCGAAAATAGCGACCGTAAGACGAATGCTTGTGAAATTCTTGTTGTGAAATTCTTTGCATACCCGAAAATAACTCTGTATCTCTGTTTATGGCAGGGGATTTGTGATAACTTCGTAATGTGCGTAGTGCGGGCATGGGACCTTCAGAAGCCGCTGCTCTTCGCCCCCGCGATGAACACCCGCATGTACGACCATCCAATAACCCGGGAGCAGATCGACAAGTTGACTAGCTGGGGCTACCAGGAGATACCCTGCATCTCCAAGACTCTGATGTGTGGCGACACGGGAAACGGTGCCATGGCAGAGGTTCCCACAATCGTGGAAGCTGTGCTGAATGCCTTGAAATCAGCCAATTAGTTTGGATCCAAAACAATTTGTTATACACACAGAGGGTTTATATCGCAGAATATTTTTGTTACAATAATTAGACAAATACTTTGGAATTGGCTGCGTAATCTTAGAGATCCACCACCTTCATGTCCTCCAGCGAAGCCGTCGCCGATTGGCTGATCAGAGCCTTCTCCGAATCCGTGAGGTTGATGAACTTGTGCTTGGACTTCAGCTCTTGCTGGATGGATGAGAGTAAATCGGGTGAGCAGCGTCCCGGTTTCAGGCTCTTTTGCTCCTGCGTCTCGGCGCCACCGGTGATTTCCATTCTGGGCTCCACGATGGTCTCCATTTGCAGCGATTGGCGTTTGCGACGCATCCGCTTGGAACCTCTGGTGATGAGCACCACGGCGGGCGACTCAAACGGCAGCGCCTGGATGACTGTCTGCAAGAGTTTCGGTGGCGTCTCCGGGGTTTTCGGATTCCCAATGACCACATCTGCCTGGAGGGCACTGCGTACTCGCTCTCGTTCCTCCTCCCGCTCCCTGGCTGCATTTTTCCGCATCAATTGACGGGCACGCTTCTTCAGGATCGCCTGGGCATTGGGGTAATACGCAATCACCTCGTTCAAATCCGATTTGGAGAGCACAAAGAGATTGGAGTAGCCCTTGGAGCGCACATCTGCTGTCCTGCGATCAGCTCCATTGATTCCCAGCAAACTGATCTCACCGAAAACGGAGCCTTCGGTTAGGGTGGCCAGGACGACATCGCTACTGGGACCTCCCATCACTTGGACTTGTCCCAGTTTCACAATGTACATCTCCCGGCCAACCTCACCCTTCCGGCAAACGAAATCTCCAGGCAGAAAGGTAACAGCACGTAGTTTCAGGACCAGATCCCTGAGTAGAGCCTCTTCGCAATCGGCAAAAAGTTGAACCTTTGAGAGGGTTTGAATGTGCACGGAGATGGCAATGTCGGTCTTAAGGTTGATGGGCAAAGCATCCAATATATTTGATTCATCTGGGGAATGGGATTGCAATTAGTTGAGGCTTTAGTAAACTATTTAAGCTTTACAAACCCAAAGTGCGCTGCTGTTCCCAGGTGAACTGGAACCACATTTTGACCCTGGACTGCACCGCCTGGGAGAGATTAAGGCGTCGCATGTACTCCAGTGTCTCGTCCTCCAGCTGGCGATACTCGTGCTTATTCCGCGTGGCCGTAGAGATAATGTCCCTGATCTGACCGATCAGCAGGGCGAACACAAAGACGCCCATTAGCCAGGCCACCGTCATGAAGACGTACTCCCCCTGGCGTTCCGGCTTCGGATTTTTCCCAATCGATGTGGCCGTCTTGGTGGCGAATGCAAAGCACCTCACATACGGATGACCCTTGCCGCTGAAGACCCATCGATTCTGGCCCAATCCCTGGTAGTCGCTGTACGCATAGTACAGAGCTGCTGTGATGTGAATCATGTACAGCATGTAGGTCAATGTCTTGGCCACTCGTACCTACATATATAAACATATATTCATAGTAAGTTGAAGGTATTTAAGGAGGAGCGAAAACCTACAAAGTGTGGTGATGATATTACTCGATCCAAGAGGCGAAACACTTCCCAGAAGCTCTGGATCTTAAAGAACCGGGGAAAACGCAACCAAACAGCACCTGTGCCCAGTTTGAGGTACAACAGCTCTAGCGGAAGAAGCGCCAGAAGATCCAACTGGAAAATTAATTGCAATTTCATAAGTTACTAGAAAATTAACATAAACCTTTAGCAGGGTGAAGAAAATATAACAACACAGGACAACAAAATGAGACTTTGTAGGAGGTGCAGGCTTATTTGTATAAAATAAAATTTAATAGAGTAATATGTACGCAAATCTGTATACTTAGATTCCGTTTCTAAGGTTTGGGTTTTGTAAAATCGCGGAAAAAAAATTTTAAAGAAATCCATTTAATTATGAATCACAAAATTGAATACTTTTCAAATTTACATTATATTTTATTTAAAAAGTAATTTCATTGGTTTTTAAGTTGATGTGTTTACCTCTATTTACAAGTCTTTAATGTGGTGAACAGGATTTTTAAAATACTACGAATTTGTTAAATTTTTAGAATTTATATATTAAGACTTTTAAAAGGAACAAGTACTTTTGAGTCACTTTAAAACATATCGATTCATACATTGATAAAAAAAACTTTAGTACAAAAAAAACATAGCTATTAAATTCAAAATGAAATATTTAATATTTTTATTAAATAAATAAATACATTTAATATTTTAATTAAATATTAAATCAACATAAAATAATAAATTCATTTTAAAATAACTAAAAATTGCAGTGTATGAAAATGTAGTAGGCTTTAAAGAAATACGGACGTATCCTATATATAAAAAAATACATTTAATATTTTAATTAAATATTAAATCAACATAAAATAATAAATTCATTTTTAAAATAACTTAAAATTGCAGTGTATAAAAATGTAGTAGGCTTTAAAGAAATACGGACGTATCCTATATATAGAGAAAGAATATATAAATCAATAGGAATATTTACCACTGAAAATGGGCTTTTGCGCAGCTCTAATAAACCAATTAATTAAATTTAAAATTTGAAAATGACACCCACCTTAAATTGCAGTTTCCTCATGTAGTTCTTCCTGGTGAGGTTTTTGTTCTTCACCCAGAATCCCTCGAAGAGGTACATAACCCGGTGCTTGAAGAAGACCACGTCCAGCAGGTACACAATGTCGGCACAGAAGTCGCAGGCCAGCCAGATGTTGGTGTTCTCCTTGGTCTGGAAGGGGAACGAGGAGCGCAGCGGGATGACCCAAGCGTTGTAGAGGAACGACAGTGACACCACGCACAGCCAGGAGATGTAGATCTTGCCCTGTGGATCCAGGGTGCGCTCGTCATTGTTGGCACCGCACAAGCTGGAGCAGAGCCACACATTCGAGCGGGGAGTGTCCGCCTCGAAGAGTCTACCGCGATGAGGAGACGGAGACTGACCCGCCGGCACCAGGCGCACCTTGTGCTGCGGCGATGGATGCAGACTCTTGGTTGGCGGCGGAGATGGTGAACTGGCCGTGCTGCTGGACGAGGGAGTGGGTGGCAGCTCGATCCGGGACTTGACCTTATTGGCCCTGGCCGTGAAGCGGCGCACCAAATGGCGCACCTGGTCGCGGAGGAACTGCTGACCCTGGGAGTCCAAGCTGCCGGCACTGCTTGGCTTGCGGTGCTCCAGGTCCATGTCCACGTTCATTTCCGCTTCCGGCTCATCGACGGCCACTATCTCGCTGTCATTTATGGAAGGTGTTCCCTGTGCCCGCTCGTTGCGATCTTCGTTTTGGAGTTCCGGCGATTCGTTGTAACATATCTGCACATCCTGTTCGTCCTCGTCGATGATGGGATGGGATTCCGCTAGATGGATCGGCGTCTCCCCCTCCTCCTCGTCCGTAGGGAGCACCACTTGACCCGTGGCTGCGGCCAGTTCCTCCGCCCGCTGAATGGCTATCGGATCGGGTACGACCACTACGGGCACTGCTCCCGGTAGTGGCACCATTTCGAAGCTCTCCTGCTCCAGCACCCTCCTCACGCTATCCGGACTCACCAGCGGCTTCTCGTGATGCAGTATGTGCTTGACCAGCGCATGGGTGGCGCCCACATTGTTCTGGTGCTCTGCGGTGTCCACACAACCGATTTTGCCATTCCTGAAGTACAAACGGGAGTGGTAGAAGCGCGGACTGCCGGGACGATGTCTTCTGGGCGGTGCCTTGTAGGCGTTTATCTTATAGGTGACCCTTTTCACGGGACTGGAGCTGGGGCAAGGGCACTTGTTCTCCTTGTTGGAGCTGGAGAGGAGGAGTTGCTCCTGTTCCCTCTCCTTTTGCATCAACTCCTCGGTGGCGCTGACGAACTGCTCGATCTCCCTGAGATCCTTGGTGATCTCCTCCAGACTGCGTCGCACTTGGGCCTCCTTCTCGCCGGGAGACGAGTAGCGGCGCACGCTCTCCGGCTGTCGATTGATCACATTCCGCATGAAGGCATGTCGTTCGAGGGTGTCGCAGAATTTGGGCTCCCGCCGCGTAGACGACGACGAGGTGGAGGAGGAGCTGCTCTGGGAGTCGCAGTGGGCGCTGGTGGGCGAGGTGGCCATCCGCTTGAGGAGCGGATGATTCTGCTGCAGCGAATGGATCTCCTCGTCGTAGGCAAAGTTCTCCAAAATATTCGGCGATGACTTGAGCAGCGATGCACTCGCCTCCGGTTCGAGCTCCTCGCTTTGGCGACTCACCTGCAAATGAATGAATGAGCCGCACGTTCAGTCGATTGAGGGTCGGTTTTCAGAAATAAATAAATCGAAAACAAGGCGAACCAGCACGCAAATGCAATAAAAACAACAAAAACGGGGGGCCAGTCAGTGTGATTCGCATGGTAATTGCCTCGAGACACCCGCACAACGGCAATTGCGAGTCGCTGGAACGCCAAAAGCCCATCTATCGAGCTAGCCATCTATTGGATCTACCTATGGAGTATTAACCCAAAGGGTCGTGGGGTCAATTTACTGACTTTACAAGCGAGTCGCCTTGAACCGAAGTCCTGCCGAAAATACTTTCACTAGGGTTTATATTCAAAGTTAAGGCCACAGAAAAAATATACTTTACTAACATGTTGTTGTCTACAGGAGAAATGAAAACAAATTATTAAGGCCTATTAAATATTTTAACAGCTAAAAGAAAAAAAACCTAATTTAGGGATTGCACATTTAAGAATGCTGAGAACAACTAGCCTTAAGAAATATTTTTTACTAAACAAAAATATACTTAAAGGAATTAAAAATATAGAGAAGGTGAACAACAAATTGTACTATATATTTGTCACTTTTCACAAAAGATTCATTTATTTTCTAAGCCTAATTTTTTTATACCCTTGCAGAGGGTATTATAATTTCAGTCAGAAGTTTGCAACGCAGTGAAGGAGACGTTTCCGACCCTATAAAGTATATATATTCTTGATCAGCATCACTAGTAGAGTCGATCTAGCCATGTCCGTCTGTCCGTCTGTCCGTCCGTCTGTCCGTCTGTCCGTCCGTTTATATGCAAACTAGTCTCTCAGTTTTAAAGCTATCTGCATGAAACTTTCCCAAAAGTTGTCTTTCTATTGCAGGTAGTATATAAGTCGGAACGAGCCGGATCGGACGACTATAGCATATAGCTCCCATAGGAACAATCGGAAAAATAAATGAAAAAAAATTATAACTTTGCTGTTTTTTAATTTTTTGTTTAGTTCTTCGACATTCAGTAATGGTTAAATATTTTAGAATTACGGTTTAAATTTCATCAAAATCGGTCGACTATAGCATATAGCTCCCATAGGAACAATCGGAAAAATAATTGAAAAAAAATATAACTTTGCTGTTTTTTAATTTTTTGTTTAGTTCTTCGAGATATAGTAATGGTTAAATATTTCAGAATTATGTTTTAAATTTCATCAAAATCGGACGACTATAGCATATAGCTCCCATAGGAACAATCGGAAAAATAAATGAAAAAAAATTATAACTTTGCTGTTTTTTAATTTTTTGTTTAGTTCTTCGACATTCAGTAATGGTTAAATATTTTAGAATTACGGTTTAAATTTCATCAAAATCGGTCGACTATAGCATATAGCTCCCATAGGAACAATCGGAAAAATAATTGAAAAAAAAATTATAACTTTGCTGTTTTTTAATTTTTTGTTTAGTTCTTCGAGATATAGTAATGGTTAAATATTTCAGAATTATGTTTTAAATTTCATCAAAATCGGACGACTATAGCATATAGCTCCCATAGGAACAATCGGAAAAATAAATGAAAAAAAATTATAACTTTTCTGTTTTTTAATTTTTTGTTTAGTTCTTCGACATATAGCAATGTTTAATTATTTCAGAATTATGGTTTAAATTTTATCAAAATCGGACGTCTATATCATATAGCTCCCATAGAAATAATAAAAATATATAAAATAACTATATAATAATTGAGCTGCTAATCATCATAGTTTCAATGTTTTTCAGCATATACTCAAGTAAATCATAATTTAAATGTTTTCAAAAGTATTTAATTCATGCAATAGCTGCAAGGGTATATGAACTTCGGCTTGCCGAAGTTTGCTTTCTTTCTTGTTATTGTATATTTTTCATGTGTTTTGTAGTTGGTTTTCAGTCCAAGTTCGTACACATCAAAAAATTACTATTATTATTATATTATATCCTAACGCTACAAGTGCAGGCTTATTTTTATTGCGTTAGTCATAAATTAAAGCTTTGATTTCAAGTTACTTTAGTTTTAATTTCTAATTTCTTATATTTATTATTGTTATTTCTTGCATCTCTTTAGCTCTTGCATTGCTTTAATCATGGATATTTGCTCCTGTATTTGCAAATTAAAGCCACTTAACTTTCCATTGCTATCCATTGATTATCGTGATCCATTCTCCTAATCAAAAATTGTAACCTTTTACCATTCCATAGCTTACCTTTCGAAAACGTGCCATGCTGGACATTTGGTTGACCGACTTGCCAACGGGCAAGTTCAGTGTCAGTGGAGGGTTCAGGGTTCAGGGTCGCTGGCCTTGCCTCTTGGCCTGTAATTAAGTAGGGGAAGAGGAACGGGTTTAGCTTCGTGCGTGTTGCACACGGCGTATGATTAATGTGCTGAGTGGACACGCAAAACGCAATGCACTTGACCTTATCGAGTGTTATCTACTTGGTTTATTACGTTGCCTATCCATACATATGCTTTACGCACTATTGATTTTTCCAGCTGTTGCAACTTGGATGGTGCTGTTCTTTGTTTTTCCTCCTTCTGGATTTTCGTTATCAGCAGCTCAACAGGTGGTTGAAAATTTGTAAAAATTTTACCTGAACTTTTTAGGTATTTATTTAACACTTTCTTATTTCTTAGCTGTTAATCCTTTTACAGCAATTTGTTGGCGCAATCGACTAGAATCTTATTTTCCCTGTTTTTTTGGGAAAAACCTCGGGACCTCAATCCTAGACAGAAAGTCACCAGCCGTCGATGCCGAAGAAGATAAACTGGTCAACGAAACGCGGGACATCTATATAGTTAGTCCAAACCATATTAACGCAGGCGCTCTCTGCTTGATTCGAGTACAGTGGAAAAAAGGCCACTAAAACCTCACAAAATCTCAGCCATTTTTTAAAACAATAAAGAAAATAAAATAAATGTTCATAGCTATTTTTATATAATTAAAATATTTTTTTATATTTAATTTATATAATAAAATCGTTGAAATCAAATATCAACTATAATGTCAAGAGCTTGCAATAAACTTCGACCCCTCAAAGCTTCATATATTCAAGTTCCCTGCAAGTTGAAAGCTTTTCATCAACTATAGCCAATTCCCAAACAGATCCAAGAAAGTCGAAGCAGTGCCTTAATGTTTTCACAATTTTTTGTATATATTTTTTTAAATATTCCATTCAGCTCTACATTCACAATTACATATTTGTAATATTGGGTTTTCTTTTGTTTTTCCTTTTAAATTACACAATATATATTTAAATATATATTTATGTATATAGTTTAAAATGTATACATATACATATATAACTTTTTGCTTTCGAATCGAGGGACTCAAAATTCAAATAACTTGATGCAATCGAAAGTGGCTAAAGGGGGGGCGCGGGGAATCCCCTCGTGGGGGCAGTGGGCTGCATGTGTTTAAGAAGAGTGTCATACATATAGATACATTAATACGTACAAACCTAGAATATAAAGAACAGTTGACTGGAAATAATGTGTGTGTGTGAGTTTTCACTTCTTTAACTTAGTCTTTATGGTTTATGCTGTGTCTCTGTCTGTGTTGGCATGTGTGTATCAGTGTGTGTTCTCATGTCTATGGATTTAGTGCATATTTAAAGATGTAAGGTCTTAATTCATTTCTTTTTTTTTTGTGTGTTTTTTTAATATTTTTTTTTGGAGATTTTTTTAATTAAGTTTTTTTGTTTTTGTTGGTTTTCATTTTTGTGGGTTTTCTTTTTGTCACTTAAAAAATTACATTAATAAAATGTATTTTAAAACTTATGCAGAAAAATGTTGCCCATTCCGGAGGCTGCAACCGCCGCCATGTGGTGGCCTACTCGCTCTCGTCCTCCTCCTCCTCCTCGGAGGACTCTTTCTTCTTGGCCTTCTTGGCGGGCTTGGCGGCCGCCTTCTTCCGCTTCTTGGGCGCCCCCGAATCGGTACCGCCGTTGGCCTCGTACTCCTTCACCGCCTTGTTGTACTCCTCCTTCATCTTGATGGCCTTCTGCTCCCACTCCTATTAAAAAAGATTTTACAAAAGAGTCCAACAATTAGTACTTATACCACCAAGTATTTTATGCCTCCACACTTACGGTCTTGTCCTTCAGTCCGCGCCAAAGTTCGCCACCCCGCTTGGCGATGTCTGTCACCTTGCTGCCGGGATTGTCCTTCTTGATCTGTTCGCGGGTCTCGTTCAGCCACAGCATGTAGGCCGAAAGGGGACGCTTCGGGCGATCTCCGCTCATGTTTGTAATTTCTCTGGCTTTTCCTGACTTCTTTCAAGGGAAATGTATGTGCCTAGCGCTTAAGCAGCTGTAATGAGAAAAATATAAATAATTAGTAAGGAACTATCTAAACCATCGAATAAACAAAAACAAATGTTTGAAAAAGATTCGATTTGATTCTTGAATTTAAGCCTCACCGGGAAAGTACTACCCGACAAACAAAAATGTAACTTTCATCATAAATTTTAATTTAATTTAATAGTTTAAAAAACTTTAACATTTAATTTTAGAGAAAAGCTTGTAAAAATTAATTCGTTTTAATTTTGTGCATTTAATTTAATTTTATATTTTTATTTGGCATTTAATTACCACAAATCTTATTCGACCTCGTATCGACAAAAAAACAAATTTAAAGATATTTATTTTTTTAACTAATGAATAATAATTTGATTACAAATAATAATCAATCAAAAAATAAAAAACCGAATTTAAAAGATTGAATAAATGCTAAGATAAGGAACCATATTAAAGGAATAAAACAATTGCGGTTATGCGATATGCTATAATTAAATGTCAGGATATTCCTTAATGTTTTTGTCTTTTTGATATCTTTTGACATATTCAATAATTGCATTTTGGGCAGTGCGCATTAATTAAATATGTCTGCCTGTACACCAACACCCAAATTCGAGCCCCGGCCTTAACCACTCCCCCTTTACCACCCACACGCCCACGTAAGCCATTGGAATGAAATACTTTTAATACATAATCCCAGCGGCTTTATATAACCCTCTACATAATGGCTATTTATGGTAGCAATATTTCCAATTAATTGTGGGTGTCGATTGCTTGTGCATATGTACTACCGCACCTAATTGCTGTACATAATGCAGAGGTCAGTGACCCCAAAGGATTTCGATGCAGGGCCAGTGAACCGCCCGCATTACACACCTCTTTCGCCTTCGCCAGCCTAGACGCAAATCAGCTGGTAGATGGCATGCAAATGAAGCGACAACGATGACGACAATCTGGCCCCCAAACAACAGCCACGAGCCATGCACTTGACCCAAATCCAGAATACAGCGCAAATTGCACGAGACATCGACATCGACAGGCACAAAATGGGGGAAATGGAGAAATGGGGGAAATGGGGAAGCGGGGTGGATGAGAACGAGGATGAGTTAGCAGTCGCAGGAGCATAACGACGTGAATTGGGTTAACAAACGACTCGAAAGTGAAGGAATCTGCAGCCTGAGGAGCGAAATTGGAGGCATGAGTGGCGCATCAATCAACCAGCCGCCACCGCACATTGCACAACGTCCTCGTTTTGGCCAGCGGCAGTGGGGGGGAAACCCCACGGATCCTGTACCTATATATATATATATACGTATGCATCTGCGTATCCTGTGTCCAGGAGCAACAGGAAAACGGCGGCAAAATTGTTGCTAGTTCACGCGGGCACAGACACACGCATCCGCAAAATAGACGGATGGCTGGCGAGGCTTCGCACATTGCGGCAACACGTGATGCAGCCAGGATATTCCGCCTCCTCACTCTCCGCCCCTTAAATATATGTATACACGTATATCTTGACGCAAAGGGAAGGGGAGAAGGGGGGTCCACCTAGAAAATCGAAAGCGAAAACCATTTCCCGTCTGTATATGTGCATAGTGGGTTGCCACATACTTGTACATCTGTATCTGTTGTTCTGGGCTATGAGCTTGCTTTTTTGCCAGCCAGCGCGGCTAACAAGGTGAGAACATTCGACATAACAGTGTTAAAAGCAAATATCCGAAAGTCTGCAACTTTTCTACAATTTAAAATTAAAAGACCCAAAAATATATAATACCAATCAATATTCAATGATACTCCACTTAAGTGGTTTCTTTTCAATTACAAAAATGCTAAACAAAAAATGCTTAAGCCCAAAAATGTTTTTATTCCTTAAAGATTTGAAATACTTAATTAAGCATGTCCTTAAAAACCATTTTGCATACCCTCTTAAAGGACTGGAGCTTACATTTTTAATAAGAACTTAAAGCAATTAATTAGGTTAACAAGGTCTTAAAATCCTCAAATGTCCAAGTCAGTATTTGTACTTCATAAATCGCCCAATTAGCTGGTACGCAATCAATATTGTTTATTCATTCCGCAGCGCTACGCATACGCAGCGTGGGCAGCACTGGCTGGGCACATTACGCATACGCAACGTGGTGCGGCATCCGCTTGTGCATAACGCATAATGAAATCCCCAGACAAACGGCAAACAGAACCCACACAAAAGTCGCACAAAGGACATTAAACGGAATACAAAATAAGGAGTTGCAAAAACGCAAAGCCTTTCAGTGGAAAACAACAGCCATTTTGTCGATCTAAAATTGAAAAGTAGACGTCAGCTGAGGCAGAGGCAGCGACTGAGGCAGCGGCAGAGGCAGAGGCAGCGACGTTGACGTCAACTGAGAGACAACTGACAACGCTTATCTGGCCAACTGTATGTGTTTATGGCGTGTGTTTTTAATGCCCCGTCCGGAGAAGAGACTTTCCGCCAGGCAGCACCACCAGTGCAAATAGCAACCACCGAGCCACAGAACCACCCAACCACCCAACCACCCAATTACCCAGAAGTACCAGTACCCAACGAAATATTGGCTTGCCTGCAGCACGAAGCTTGTGCGCAGAACCAGCATTTTAGGGTAGATACTTTCCCAGGGATTTGCGCACTGGATGCCCGAAAGCAACGGCCTCTATGTGTTTTCGCTGGAGAGCGTGGAACGCACAGTGGTGACTTTTAACGAGTGTATACATAATGCTGATAATGTCCTCGTTTAATGACCCTTTTTTTCGGTATCACCGATTTCGCACAGTGTACAGTACAGTCGGGGCGAAAATCAAAGGGTAGGTAGGTCAACATTATGTCGATTCATTACGAAAATGGCACGCTAGATGGCGCCATGGCCAGGCTGTTACATTTTTCATATATAATTCATTTTATTAAGTGCATTGGCGAAGTTGATTTCTGCCTAGATGTCTTCCTTAATTAAACTTGAAAGCATCAAGGAGGAATTTAAGCATCCTAAAGAAAGCCTTTAATAACTTTAAATAAAATAAACGTTCGGTTCAAATTCAACATACCATACTATACTCACTAGCATATTTTCTTAATTATCAAAAATATTATATATATATTGCCCCAAATGCAGCAATTGTGCTTATCGACGTAACCCCAGGGGTGGAAATGAGCTTCATCTGAAAATGTGATTGTTCGATAAAAACGCTTCGGTCCACAGCGCGAATTGAAAACGCATCGGATGGCACACGTTCTTCAGCTCCTGCACCAATTAAATTTAGTCCGACTTTAGACCAAGATTCTTAGTCAATACTTTTGAATGAAGACACTGAACCAAAACATTGAACAAATTTGTCCACAAACTGCCTGGAAGGCGCTTAGTAATTCCTAAACTTTGTATGTATTTTAATTATCAGGATATCGAGATCAAATGTCTGTCTAAGGAAAATATTCCGATTACAACAGCTAATTTATTAATGTTTTTTTTTTTTTATAAGCGCATACTCTTCAATTAAAATATATGTAACTATAGAATAGAAGTTAATAAGTATTATTTAAAATGAGAAAAGTGCAAAACTATTCAATAAAAATTACAATAATATCAAAAGCCCGCTACGAGAAATATCACACAAGGGAGCTTTGCCTGTGATATCAGGCAAACTCGAAAAAAGAGCGGGAAAGATACGATCGCCTGTGACTTTGACGCATATCAACGCAATTATACCCGGCTATCGCCCTATAGATTAGCGTGGTCCTATGCCAGTATTCGTATTCGATTAGGAAAATCAGCACAAAAGTGGCGCGAAAAGAGCTTTGTAACTGTAAATGCCCCCGAGAACGAGAAGCTTTGCCGCTCTATCGCGCTCTTCCTCTCCCACTTCCTATCGGTGTGCCTTTTTCTGGATGTGTGAGTCAGTGGGGGGCCTGAGTGACAAAACTTTTGGCGCCATTTTTAGTTTGCACTCGGGAGTGCAGCACGCAAAGCGCTAAAAAATAACAACAAAACACGCGCACGCGGAATGGAAAACAAAAGAAAACACAATATAACCAAAATAGCAATCAAATGCCGCCTAGGACAAGTAAAAAGGTTGAAAATCAGGTAAATCTGGCAGAAGATCCGTGAAGATCAGCTATGATCCTTAAGCCGAAAAGGATACGCCTGCATTTTAGACCACACTTCTTTAAAATGAACTTCGAAAAAAGAACAACTTGTCCGTAACACTCTAAATAATCATGTGACAAGCGTTGAGAAAAGCAAAAGTCCCTTTTGTCCACTCCAGGAAACAGGATTAGCCCGGCTGTCCACCCAGAACCAAGTGGCAAGTACCAAGAAAAGCGGCTCAACCAAGGGAAGCCGCAGATGGCGACAGGTGGGTGGACAGTGGGTGGCCATTTACCGAAGGCCAGACCCAAAGCCGATCAGAAATCAAAAGCCCCAACGAGCAGGTGCGGCAGAAAGTGACTTGCACTGGGGAACGCAGTCAACGGATGAGACAACAAACTACACTGGCCAAACAGAACTTTGATCAGTTCAAAAATAATAGTTTTTTTTTTTACGAAACAATTATTATCTAACTAATTAATTTTTTTCACTGTTTAATTATGTTCATAACACAGTTGAATAACATTTTTTTTTGTTTAAAAAAATCATTAATTATTGTCCTTCGAAAAAATATTAAACTTGTTTTTAAAAATTATATCGCGTAATGTGCCCTTTTTTTTTGGCATTTTCCATCACGTTTGCCAATGTATCGGTCGATATGGCTCTAATTTCGCGGCGTACATATCTTGTCTCTGAGTTGAGCTAGTGTCCTTGGCTTGTAACCTTGGATTTCCAATAGTCCCACAAAAAAAAACGGGTGGAGTCAAATTTGGTGACCTTGGTGGCCAGTCAAAATCGCCTCTTTTCGATATAAGTCGCCCTGGGAACAATGACCGCAACAAATCAATTGTTTGTGCAGGTAGCGTAATCCTGTTGAAACTAGAAATCATACAAACCATTTTCACGAAAAATTGGGATCACAAAATCAGATATCATGGCTCGATAACGATCGCCATTGACCCCACGATTGGTTTGGTGAAAATACGGACCAAGGTTCATATAACCGACAATTTTTTTTGATTACGCCTTATTAACACTGTTGGAGTTCATAAACTTTGCGTATAAACGAGGATATTGTTCCATGGTTAAAATTGTCTTCAAATGACGCTTCCAACACAGTATAACATTTGCCGATCCTCGGCGCAATCAAATGTTCCAGGATTGTCGGATGCTTTTAATTTAAATAGCATACCCTACAAACAAAAATCTCCAAAAAAAATTTTTTGATTTTGCATGTATTTTCATTCATGTAAACTTCAACACCTATAAACCGTTTATAAGTTTACGTTTTTAAAATTCACTCTAAGATTCCGACTAACTAAATGATATTATAGGTTAATGTCATTTCAAAAATCAGCCTTTACTAACACCTTAACATCGTGGTTATCACTTTAAATTTTATCACTAAGCCTTGAAACTAATGAAAAAGCAATTGGTTGTTAAAAAAAAATAAGTTTTTAAATTTTAGGTAGGAAATTAAATAATAATTTTAATTTCATGTTCTCACAAAAAACGTTGACAAAAAAAGTTTAAATCGTTTATTTATCACAAATCATAAATTAATTTTATTTATTTTACCGAAGTAAACTCATATTTTAAGGCACAAGAGATTGTAAACAATAATTATTTTAATTTCACCACAAACACCCACCAATTATCAAAATGAATCCACGAACAACAAACTATGTATGATTTAAGTCCGATAACAACTAAAAAACAATATTTCTCAGAAAAATCCTGCAAGCCAACCATAAATGGCGATTAATTAGTTAAATACACAACCGAACAAATATATTTCCACGCACATGATTTCACTTCAATCAAAGATTATCGCCTGGCCGACTAATTTGACGGCGAGTGTAAATGCTTGGCCAGCAAAGTGCAAAAATCGTATGAAAAATACTCGTATTGCCATATCTACGTACGTACTTTGCCTTGTTTCGGTGTTTACTTCACTCTTCTTGGCCCGTCCAGCTACTTGTACTGGATACTGGGTTCTCGATTCTGGTACTGCTACTACTGACTGTGTCTGTGCCTGTGCCTGTGAAAATCGCCTCGTACGAAACGAACTGAAGTGAGACTGAGACTGAGACTGAATGTACGTAGTGGTACTGCGAGCGTCTATAGGCAGGCCAGGCGAACTGAACTGAAATTCAACTGAAGCAGCTGTACCAGGCAATGGCCACACAAGCTATACAGAAACCTAACCAAACCGAACCGAAACCGAAACAGCAACACAGAGGCGAAAAGCAGAGAGAAGAGGGCAGCAGTAGCAGCGGCAGCAGCAGCAGCAGCAGCAAAAGCAAAGGCAAAACGAACGACGAACAGCGAGACCATCAAATAGCAGGCAAGCGGGGCAGCCAAAGCAAAGTATCTGTATCTGAGAGTCGAACAACCCAGCCAACCAGCCAACCAACACACAGGGCAAATCGGGGTAGGCGACTGTATGCGCACAGTGGCGGGCCTTCGGGTGTGTACGGCTCCGGCGAAGGCGACTCATTTGCGTGGCCGCACACTGGCGGGCGGCGAAATTGAGCCGTTCGAGAGGCATTTTGCTGGTACAGCGCATGCACAGTTAAGGCACAGAATATTGAAAATAGTATGTAGAGCAATTAATTACGAGCTAAGAGATAATTCACAGGCATACAAAAATGCATTTCAAATCCAATAAAATAAAAACATTTTTTTTCAATTTTCATATTAAAAACAAAAACTATGTTTTTTTGATATACGCCTAAATCAAACCCTACTTGCATTTAAACTCCTATCAAACACCCCTAAACTTAAAAAGACGCGCATGTACCGACTATTTTTGCCGCGACTGTACCCTGTTTGTTCATATAAAAAGCATGGAGCTGTGAGAACGAATTGCCAGTAGTATTTGGCGGCGCCGCTTCGCCCCCTCTCCACCCCTCTCTCCCTTCCCCTTATTTTATACCCCTCAGCTCGTCACAAACGTCGTCACTGCCGCCCGCCCACCTGTACCGCCCTCCCCCGTCCCGCAAAAAATTAAAAAATAACGCACTCCTACTCCCCAATTCCCCGTGAATTTCTCTGTCGCCCAATAGACATTAAAAATTGACTTCAACTTCTTTGCTAGGCCTCCGCAAAAAAAAGTAGGATTGATTTGTGAGTTTTTTCCAAAAAAAAAAAAAATGATTTAACCTAGAATATTGATTTGACATTTACATTTCAATCGATTGAGTAATCAGCCAACGAATCAGCTCACACACAATGCGGCTGCATTTCAAAAAATAACCGTCAATATTTCGCGCGCGCCCTCCATTCAAAATTTCAATTCGATACGAGCACGATGTGGACGAAGCCAAAGCCAAAGCCACCTAACCAAAAGGCGAAAGCACTGCCAGCCGTATAGCTCTATGTGGCCCAAGTAGTAGAGTAGTAGTATTATAACCCACGCCGCACCGCAAATTGGGTCGTTTGGTTTATTTAGCAAAATTTATATAATAAATGGCCACCGTGGCGCTATTTCTTGGCCAGATAATTGAGGCGAGACAATGGCGAATCAATCGTAGTGAAGCACTTGACACTCACCCGTATGAAAAAGTCGCGTAATTTGCGTTTTAATTGCAACAAATCGCAGTGGTCTCCTCGATTTTGGTACGTTTGCAGTAGTACTAGCTTCAGTACTGCCTGTTCTGTTCACTGTATAAATTTTTCTTCCACTGAAAAACCCAAGTCGCTTGAGCGTACGTAGTACAGCTTTTGCCTTTGCCTTTGGAATATGAAATACACAGAGCGGTAGCAGTACCAGTACACTGAGTGAATGCCAGAGCCCAGAGCAGAGCAAAACGGCCATACGCCATACGCCATACACCATACACCATATAGCTCGAGTACGACGCAAACGCAGGCAAACCAAACTGGGGCCTGTGCTGGTGTGTGTGACGAGTATCTGTGTATCGGTGCTCGTTGGCACTCACAGATACAGAACACTGCCGTCCGTGTGTATCTGGCCTGGTCTGGCCTGGCTGGCATTTTGTCGCTGTGTGCTCGTTGCTTCGTTCGTTATATGAACAGAGCAGATGGACGGAACGGATGGGGGCGGGGGAAGGGGAAGGGGTGCGAAGGTATCAGCGGCAAGAGCGCAGAGTCAGAGCATTGAACATGGCCGCCTGGTCTTGGTCTTGGTCTGGCCTGCCTGGCCTCTGGTTCGCTTTGGCCGACCAAGTACTATTGTATCTTTTGCTTTTCAGCTGAATTTTGGATAGTTTTATCACTAACATGGGGTGTACTGGGTATGGGGATAAGTTAGGAAAATATGCGTCTTACTAATGGCATCTAAAAATTTTCTTATTTAATATCTCAAAATGTGAATTCTAGCACCTTAACTGCAAGTATACACCATAAAAATAGTTCTTTGTTTTGTTTTTAGTACCAATTTTTATTTTTTTAAAACTAACGTGAGTTAAACTGGGTATGAGAATGTGTTAAAAATACATTTTTCTTACTTATGGCTTTTACAGTTTCGAAGTATTAAAACAAATAATATGACTTTATTGACATTATTTGAAAATATTTACTCAAGTAAACGCACATTTGTTTGCTTTTACAACGTGCATGGATTGTACTGGATATGAAAATTGGCTTATAATAATGGCATTTTAAATTATCGAATTTTTTATCCAGAAATGGAGTCCTAAGACTTAAACTGAAAAAAAAATTTGATTATAAAAGTTTTTTTTTTTTTTTAATCATCTGTGTCCAAAAATTTAGGTTTTTTTCGTATACATTTTTTCGATTTTATATTTAAAAAACAAAAATTGTAATCCTTACTTAAAACATTTACTTAAATAAGTACAAATTTAAGTGATTTTATAAACAGTAAGGAGTGGACAAGGTGTGCAAAAATGTTGGCAAAATATATTAACCACTGTTGACACTTAAAAGTGCTCAGAAAGCATTTACGAAACATTTTTTTTATTGAGATTCTGGTAAATAATTAATAATTTAACGGAAAAGTGCTTGGAAAACTTTAAGCTTAACTAAATTTTGTTAAAAAGTGCGTTAAAGTAAACTAAATAATATTAATTTTAATTGATTTTGGTAAAACGTCTTAAGGTTTTATAACTAGAATGAGGGTACTGAAAGTAAGATAAGGCTAAGATTATAAATTGAATTATCAATATATATAAAATGTTTTTTAAGACGCTTGTCATTTTTATGTCTTCTGTCTTAATAAAATTTCCTCAAGGAAACCAATTAAAACAAAAAGTTTTTTAATGAAATTGTGAATTTAACTAGCTATTTATTTCTTTAATTTTTTACATCATATTTTGTCACGCACAAATAAAGCTTAGATCACAACAAAATTATCAGTTCTAGAATTATGGTCGAAGTGTAACACAAATATGAAAAGATTTAATTTGCTCAAGCTTTAGGAATGGGATACAATTGGCAAAAAATATGATTTTTGAATATGTGTTTTTATCTTATAGGTTGTAGTAGCTTAATGGTGGCAAATGTTGGTGCTACAGTAGGCTTTTGTTTTTAAACAAAACAAATATTTTGTACTAATAAATAGTAAATGTAATTTACAAATATAGGCGCTCTTTTTGATGAAAATAGATTTAAAATTACAATAAACATAAACCAGTGAAGTGGTGTTACAAAGTACCTTATCAAATCGAGAGAAGTGACGGAAAAGCATGAAAATTTGGGCCATGAAAAAGCGCACCCACCAAGTCGACCAGTGCCGCCTGTTTTTCGTTTGCCTGTATCTCGCTCTGTAGAGCCGTAGAGCCATAGACCGCAGTACAGCTACAGCTAAATTCGAAAATACGAACCGAACGAGTGTCTGAGTCTGAAGGGGAGTCGGTGCGAGCGAGACGGGGCGGCGGTGCGAGGGAGAGGGAGAGACGAACAGACGGCGGCAACGGCGGTCGTTCCACATACGCGACGCCACTGTGTGTGCGACTGTATCTGAATCGGAATCAGAATCTGTATCTGCCTGAGTGCGAAGCAAACACAAACAACGCAAGAAACAAAAGAGCCCGCCTCGTTTGCGTGTAGGGTATGCGAATGGCAGTGGGACAATCTGGACCCGGTCTAATGATGAACCGCTCAACGGATTAACCAGATTTCAGATTTTAGATTCCTGATGCAGCACTCAGTGATATTTTCGCATCCGAAAAACATGATGTGACCATCTTTATATGGAATTTATTCTACTATCTTAAAGATAAGTAGTGTGGTTAGCATGGGCAACCGCTGAAAGATACATACATATGTACATAGTTGTAAGCTGGAAAACTACAGTTCGCACAAGTTAGTGGAACTATAAAAGTTAAGCTGTATTAAAAATACAATTTATAGGTTCACTAAAAGAACACTTAATCAATAGATAATAATGGCCATAATATGTTAATAGAAAATAGCCAAAGATGCTTAAACTGTTGTTTAAAATTTACGACAAAATATCAGACTTATTTGCTAATTTCAAAAAAACCATCTTGAAAGAAAATTAAATAAAAAAAAACAATAAATACAAAAACAATAATTTAGAGCTTAATACCATAGGTGTGAAATAAAATTTATAATTTTAAATGTTTTGAATAAAATCTACTTGAATTTTAAGAACTATTTACTATTTGGTTTGCTTTGGTGTTTTTTTATTTAACGTGTCATTTTTTAGTGGATCTGCTGGGAAAGAACTGAACAAATTACAGTCCTTAGAATTTGCATTTAAGTTTTAATTTTGGCTGAAAAGACTTTTTGTGTCACCCCTAAACACAATACCATTTTGTGGTAAACAAAACTATGGATATTGTTAATCAAGATAAATGGTAAAATGCAAATATTCTTTTCAAAGATTGTGCAACTGTATCCTCTGATGGGACAGGACACGTATTTTACAGATCGTTGACCTCAACGCAAAACAATTCGGGGTGCCTACAAACAAGGGGTTGCTTCGCAACACATAATATCTCGGCTATAACAAAATCCGGATAATTTTACAATATTATAAGATCGAGAAATGCACATTTTTTCGCTTTGCTCGTTGGTCCCACGGTGCCAGTGGGTCGGTCGATTATTATGGCTGTTTGTCGTCTCATTTCAGCCGTGTGTCTGTGAAGCACACCGAGAGCCTGTCATGAAGCCAACGGCCCGACGGACGGTATCGCCGGGGTGGGGTGCTGGGTGGGCTATGCCATGGCCTGGTGTTGGTTTCGATTCCGGGAGGTGGATGTGGATGTGGATGCGGAGGTGGAGGTGAGAGACCCAAGCGGGCTGCAGTCGGCGGACCGACGCTACTGGTGGCGGCTTTTGGTGGTGGCAATTGTTGGTCGGCCAGGAGTGGATGTGGATAAAGGGGTCTCCTGCCGGTCGTGGCTCGTCGGCGGCCCGCAGGATGTTGAGGAGGGGAACACGCTTTCGGGAGGAATATGCAAAAACGAACCAGCTAACGAGCCGAGCGAACTGGCGACGCTTCATCGAAGTGGGGACGCATGAGGCGCACATTTGACAGGATGTGGATATAACGAGCCTGACTGCGTATGTACTTGGGTGTGCCAGAGCTGTAGAGAGCAGCCCGATCGAAGAACTGATGCTCTAACAGGAGTAGACCCCGAAAAAGAGCTGAATATTCTTTGGTATCCTTATGATAATATACTAGAATATACCAAAAATTCTTTACCTACATATTCTTACAATAAATATTTTAAAAACTTAAATAATTTTTTTAGTAGCATTTCCATTGTCTTGTCTCTATTTATTCTCACATATTTTCAAAATGAATTAATTTGGGGTTAAACTTATTAATTTACCTTATATCACAAAATAATTTATTTTTTTTTAATTCTTGAGATCAAAAATCAAACAAGAATATAATTTTTTTTTTTTCATTTTAATAAGAAGAACAGGATAATTAACCTTACATTTATACAGAGAATACTTAAGTAGTTACTGATAAGTTGTCTAATAAAAATAATTAAAATACAAATATTAAGTAAATAGTTTCTTGTGGTTTACAAACAATAGAGAATGTTCCAAAACTTTGGATTTTAAGTGTGTTCCTATTAAACAATAAATCCAATAAGTTTAGCAAGACTTAAGAAAGTTGATCCTCAAGCATATGTAGTATATACCCCATGGAAACACATTCTTCATATCTGCCACATTCTGTTGCAACTTTTCATCTTGGTAATGGCCTAAGAGTATAGGAGACCGCGGTCCTTTTGTATGTACGAGGCATTCCGCTATGAGATCCTTGATGCCTGGGTGTTCCTCTTTCCTCAGACCCTGCCCACCCAGCTTAGGATGATTCCTGCTGCCTGGACGCGGACATGCGACATGAGAATATGGACCCTGTCTTCGGGTCGCCTGCAAAACGTCTCAACGTTTATTCGGTATGTGTGCGGATTGGAGGGTCGAGTATTTTGTGCCTTTCATAGGAACTAAACTGCTTGAGTTGCCTTGAGTAAGTGAATGTTGCCAGCACACACACACACACTCATGCATACATACGCATATCCTTGTGCAGACAATCAGGAGACTGAAGTGCTCACAGCAGGATGCAGGCGAACATTCCGGGCAGGGGCTACTACACTGTACATGGAATACGGGGCACTTGTTGTTGCCATCGCTCGTCATCGTTGCGTCGCCTTTCCCATCTACTCGAACCAATATGCTTGGCATATGGACTAAATGTACTTGGTTTTTGCCTTTACGGTTATGTTTTATAGAGGGTCTTGCGCTTCGGGGGGAAACTAACTTTTTGGCGCCACTTTTTGTAGGGGATCGTTTAGTAGTGATTCAAATGAGGCTAATGAAGTTATGATTTCCCCTTTGCCCAGATTCATATAATAAGGTTTAAATGTCGTTAATTTTAATTGCAAGTTTAGTCAAGTCATCTTCTTGGAGAGGATGTTTTGGTATTGTTAAAAACAAGTTTTAAAAAGTTTCTAATATACAAAGGCATTTTGGGAAATTTGTTAATCTTTTTCAGAAAATCATTTAAAAACTCGGGATTTATTGCTCAAAAAAATAAACCGATCGCTTAAAAAATTAATAGGTTGATCAAAGTTAATACACAATTTTTGTTGCTTTAAAGATAGAGACTTACTTGTATCCTTCAACTTAAACTTTCAATGCCAACGGCTTATGCTTTTTAGCAGTAGAATATTTTTTTTAGCTTTATTTCATCATTTAGCTATTATTTGGATATTTCTAAAGGGTGAGTGGGCAATCACATCATATTGTTTTGAGGATCTTTTGGCAAAGGAGACTTTTGATCCCATTTTCGCTCCTTTCCTCTTAATAAACAGGTGGTTATCGACGTACCATTTTCAGAATAAGAATACAATATGAATCGTTTTCCTTATAACGCTTTACGTTCTGGTTCTCTTTTGATTTCTGTTTCTGTTTCGGATTCTGATTCCACCTCTCACGATGTTCGTTTCTCCCAAACAGCTGATGGTGCGATGATGCATGTGCGCCAAAAAGGGGGAAATGGTGGTTGGGACTGAGAACTGAGGGTTCGCTAAATAATACGAATGGCCCGGTGCCGTGTTTTTGTTGTTTTGCTGGTGTGCCTTTGGGTAGAGATTGCCGGCCGCTAGCAATAACAAGCGACAACTGGATGGGAATGCGAATGCCCATGCCATAGCCATACCCATAGCCATACCCACATCCATACCCATACCCCCATCGGCATCCACAACCACGGCCAAGTTCAGTATCTTCGGCACATTCCATGGCGCCTATTGTTGCACCACCAGCAGCAAGAAGCAGCAAGAAGCAGCAAAACCAACACGAGCAACAGGACAGAGCTAACACTAACTCCTTTGTGACCCAATTTAAAGCGAGTCGCGAAAGTGCAACTATGTAGGTATAATGCCATGTGAGTGGGCGTACCACAGTCCAACTTGGTTTGTTTGCGCCTTTAATTGTACAAACAAAGTACTAAAATTTTGTTTATAATTTTATGGCTACCACTTTACTTTGAAATATTGACTGAACACGATCAAACCTATTTTTTAATTTTACATTTATAGTTATTTTTTCAACTCTTTAAATTCTAATATGGTTAAGATAGAATAAAAAATTCTTTATTTAAAATTAGTAAAAGGAAATAAAATCTCATACTATAAAAAATAAGTTAACAAAAGATGTGAAGACAAAATTGGTCGTTAAAATTCCTTGGCCAGTTCAAAACAAACGGCGAAAAAAAAAATCAACCAAGTAATAACTAATTGCCAAATTCTTCCATTTATCTAGGCCATTCATTCTAAAAATGTTTCTATGAAAAAAAAAAAAATATTAACCTTATTTTACATGAAATCGAACATGCTTCATCCGTTTGTTAATGAATTTATTTGTAATGCAGATAGTAAAGGATGTTCCACTGTGTTTAAAACAGGGGAAGTCCCTCGGAAAGAACCACGTGCTGTGGGTGTGATGCCATCGATCTTATCGGTTGCCCAATCGAAGGTCGCATGTGAAGTCGCTGCTGGAACCGCTTGCGATTTGGGTAGGGTGTTCAAATGTTGCGAATAAGCTGGCAAAGATAATATCCAAAAACAACGATAGCCGTGCGTTTTATTGTTGCTTGTCGTCCGGTTTCAGAGTCTCGGCTTTCTCTCTTCTTGAGAATTTATTGAGCAAACACAGCGAGTGTGTGTATGTATGCGTCATGCCAGATAAAAAAATCCAAAATCGGCATAAAAAAGATATGTACATATGTCCTCAGTTATACCATGATTATCGTTAGCAAAGCATTTTTTTTAGGAAATTATACAAGCTGCATTACATCATGTCATATTTACACGCAGTCTACATGCGTGTATTTTACACCACCAACATTCAAACGTTAAGAGAGCGTGTCTGCCGACTACGGCAGAGGCCGCGGCAGAGGTTATTTCGCTCTCTTCTTTGCTTTTTGCGGTACAGTACAGTTTGCTTTTACTTTCTCCCGTTTCTGCTTCTCTGCTTTCTTCCGGCGGCACAGTGAACGCTCGGAAATTGAAACCAGTAAGGACAAGAACTCATTTACATACATTTTTAGGATAGAAATCTTGTTTATAAACAGAAAGATATTTTAATATGATGATCAATATTTCGATTTTACAAAGAATAAAAGTATGTAAAAACTTGTACTTGAAATTATTTAAAATTTCTATGTAAGAACGTTCACAAAAAATTTTTTTCATACTTCTATTCGATGGGAAAAATATATTAAGCAAATACTAAAATGATTTGGGGATATAATTAATTATTTAAAACTTTTAAGCAAAATCTGTAACTCAATATATATTTTATATATTGTCTTTAGTTTACTGTGGTTTGTAAAAACAGAAGCCAATTTATCTTCACATTCATTGTTAATATAAACTCAACAACAATAGTTTTTGTAAGTTCTAAAAAAAAAACATTCTGTGACCCTTACTGTGGTACCAGGTAACTTAAAAGTTAAGCTTTGAGTTCTTGACAAAATGAAAGTAAAAATTTTTTATCGAAAATTATACCCATGTTAAGTTAAGCACAATTTTCTCTTCATTCAAACAATTTTTTTGTAACTTATATTTTGGATAAGGATTTTTTACAATATTTTTTACAAGAATATTAAAATAGCTTAAATTAAGGAAGTTCTTTCAAATTATTCAATCAAATAACTAGAATCGTATTCACAGATATGGTTTCGTTCAGTGCAAGATGTTATTATACAAAGTCGTGCAAAAAGTATTTCTTGAAAGTTAGAAAAGACATTATTAAGATTTCAACATAAAATAACTTGGGTGTGTCTTTTTCAACTGGTTTTTAGTTAAACATATCCACATCGTTAGGGTGACCATTAATCTTACGGCGCTCCATCGAGATCATATACTGGATTTTAGATTGTATTACCATTGCATTGGCCAAGGGCATATTTCGAATTTGGGCAGCTACACTTAGCCCAAAGAAGGTGAATTCGTCTTCGCCCCGCAAGCCAGCTCCTAATCCAACTCCAGTTCCTCTTACAGGTGCCGATCCCAATCCCATTGCCAAAACCTCGCTTTTTTCAGAAAGGGAGCACGCTGTCGATAAGGGAAGAGGCATCTGAACTGGGGCTGGAAGTGGGGCCGAATTGATCTCAACGATCTTGGCCAGTGACGGAGGCGGAGTCTGTGGGGTATCCATGGGCATGGGTGCTGGAAGAACGGTGAACAAGGAAGCAGGTGTAGAAACCGATGGCATCTCTGGAACAGATATTTCATCTGGATCCGGTTTGATCTCGGTCTGGATCTTAATGGGCTTTAGCCTAGTGAGGCGAATCTGTAGGCGTTTTAGATGAGGAGTGCTCCTGGTACCGAAGTCATTCTGGGAAAGGATTACAGAGAAGAAACCAAAACCAAAAACTTTACCAGGAGATCAAATGCAAATGCAAAACGATATCATAAAGCTGCCATTGAATATTTGAGCTGCAAAACATCATAGCTTCAATGTTTTTTAACATATACCCAAGTAAATCATAATTTTAATGTTTTTAAGAATATATAATATTTGCAAAAGCTGCAAGGGTATGTGAACTTCGGCTTGCCGAATTTTGCTTCCTTTCTTGTTAGGATTGTTAAATCGTAGAAAATCGTAGAGTCGTGAAGTTGCCGATCTTGATTATTTAAAAAAAAATTAAAAAAAAAAAACTAGATATATGAGTACTTGTGAAGACGATAACTTCCTCTTCTACCTAATAGATAAGATGAAAAGTTACAAGAAATCTTACCGTGTCCAAGAATTCAGCCAGAAATCCGTGCAATGGAGCAAACCAAGGCGTCTTTGGTTGATATCCTGAAATGCTTCGGATCTTTTTTAGCTCCTGGTGGTACCCAGTGCGTAGGTTCTTGATCTTCATCTTGACTCCCTGGATGGTCAGACATGTTTCATATGGTTCAATATCGGCATTAATTCCCGCCTGAATTCGCCGATAGGCGGCGTTCCGAGCTCGCCGTAAGTAGGGCCGCTTGTTCCAGAGGCATGGCTCACGGCCGTAAAGCTCCACGAACTTGACAGTACGATCATCGGAAAATCGGTATGGGAGTGCAACCGAGGCTGGTGACGTCATGCTCATGCCCTGCTTAGAAACACGATCTCTTTTGGGAGGGCTTCCTTTTTTTCAAAAACCCCGCACCAAAAATAAGCCCCTCGTGAAAAAAAGAAAAACGACAGAAAGCAGAAACGGCAGAAAGCACGAACGATTACCTCTCCGAGCAAATGCTGCCTTCCGAATGGCGTTTTTGCTTTTCTGCTTTCTGCTTTGCTCGCCCACACTTCCCAGCCCCTCTCTCTTTCTATCTCGCTCATTGGATGCTGCTCTTATGCGCTTATATGTTTGCAAAATTGCTTTCAAGTGAGAGGCAAAGCAGAAATGACCGTATTTAAAAAATCGCTTTCAAACGACTGGTGTAGAAGAAATTTAAAAACTATAAACCGACAATAAGTATTTAAACCACGCATTTATTGTCCCTTAAAATAAACATCGACCAACAAAAATATCCTTAACTTAACTACTGTGTAGACATGATTTTAAAACCCAAAACTCCAAAACAAAGTATGTAAACAACGATTTTTCAAAGAAAAACCTACAGAAAAATTTGCTGACGATGTGCTTTGTTGCTTTTTCGGCCCTGCTTGAGAGAACTATTGAAAGAGAGGGAAAGAGAATGAGCGCAGCGCAGGTCCGTCATTTGTGAGAGGTGCCCATAGACAAGGGCGGCTGCAAAGGGGAGCAGCCTCTTGAAATATTTTGTAAAAGGAAAATCAGTCCCAAAAATATTTTGACTTCCTGGAAATATTTTCTAGCCGCAATACTGTGCTAAAACTTTTTTAGATAAATATGACGAAATCCCGGTAATTCTTTAAATTTTACTAATAACTAAAAATCTTTACAGCCTACCCGATGAAATCCTGCAGACGCCCCTGAACAAAATAAAGCTGAAGTTTGGTTTTGTTTTCATGTCATAAACAAAAAATGTATGCCTCTCTTTTCAGAACTTGAGGCGGAAGAATTGAAGAGGGATCGAACATAAATCGAACATTAACAGCAGCTGTTAATTAACAGTCATGATTTAGCTCGAGAGCTGCGAAAAAACATTGTCCTTTCTAGACTCCGAAACAGTTATCCCCTTCATTTTCGCCTGCCTTCGGGCAATCTTTATGCACCGGAATGCAGTTCCTACCCTAGGTAGGCTCCATCATCATATGCCTGTTTGTCTTCCCTTTTGCTCGACCCTCCCTTCGGCGTGTCCTATCCTTCGTTATTGTGAACTTGCAACAGCGCGTGACATCGTTATCCCTTGTGCCTCCTGGAGGAAAAACTGCAGCGACAATCTAGGATCATGCCCTCTGTTCCCGTTTTGGGCATTTACGATTTGATTGTGGGAAATTGCCTGGCAGCATCTGCCGCCAAAATCTGTCCAAAATGTAACGGTTATGAGGTGTTTTACCTATTGGGATTTTCTTTACGAACATATGTATGTAAATACTATTTATAAATTGAAAAACGAATTGCATGTATCACAAAACTAATAACAATACATACAAACATACATATGGTATGTACATTTGTGGGACATTGATTTAAATATTTATTTATTTATTTTATAGTCAGTTAAAAATGTATGCTATGTATAATAAATATGTTTAAAAGGGTTAGAAGTTTTTCAATTCAGTGGATGGCCATTTGGCTGTTTTATTAAGATCTAATTACTTTCTGTAGGAAAGTATAGTTAAAATTAATACTTAATACTAAAATTATTTGCTAAGGCAAACAATACTACTTTTGCCCTTCGTTCATTTTAAACATTTGTATGGATATCATAGCACAGGTGAAAAGTTCGTCAAGCAAAAGAGAGAGTTTCTCCTACTATAACTGAACAGAAGTAGAACATTTAATAACAAAAAGTGTGAATTATTTATGTTGCAAGCAATCTAAAATCTAACTAAAAAAATATTTAAAAAAAATTTTTTTCAAACCTTATGTGGTAACGTTATCTTAATTAAGTTAAGATCTGAAATCTAGAGCAAAAAATAAGTAAGAATTATTCAAGTTACAACAATCTCAGTTCAAGGGTAAGTAAAAAAAAATTTATTTTTTTTAAAACTTATGTGGTAACGTTATCTTAATTAAAGATCATGTTTTGTTGTTCTCGCAAATTTATATGGCGTTTGCTGCATATAAATTTTGGCGCCATTTTTAAAAAGCGACCCTCGTTCTTTTTGTGGTATGTGTACCCTTGCTGTTTCATTGAGAGAGTTTCTCTTTGGTTTCCTTGCTAGTATGCGTAGCTAGAAGAAAATTGGATACTGCAAAATTGTTGCAGTCTCACAGAAATCAAAGAAAATTTCGCCTACAATTTGCTTTTTCATCTAGTTGGTCTATTATCGTACCAAACGCATTTTCCCTGCTTAGCGTTTTATTTGTTTTTACATGCCATTTATCGTTTTCCGTTTTGCTCGCCATCGCAAAAAGAGAGAGAAGGAGAGCGAGAGCGGGAGAAAGGCTCTCCACACCAAAGCAGCGCTGCCGACGTCGTCGCCTGTCGGCGTTTGCTGCTACCTACTCGTTTTCGTTCTGCCGACAAACGCGTTGTTCCGTACAGTTCTTTTCGAGCAACATACGAGCAAGGTTGGTTCCACTCCAAGTTTCTGTTTTTAACACATTGTGCAAAATGTTATAAAGAATTAAATAAATAAAAATACTTATTCAGTGAACAGTTGTGTGAAGAGTGAAGTCTACTCGAAACGCAGTAAATTGCGTGAATTTTAGCAGTGAAAAATCAAGCAGCAGCGTGTCTGTACCCCACAGCAAAACCGAAGAGCAGAGAAAGCGTTGCCATTTTGGCTTTGACTTTTCTTCGCTCGCTGGTTTGCCTCGCCTCAAAATGGCCGCCGCCTTTGCAATTTAAAATTTTTTTTCCCCAAAACTCGCAGTTTACTGAAATTACTTACTAAACACCAAAAAATCGCGCGCATTTCTTTGCCTAACTATTTCCTATAAGATATGCGTTTTTGTGCATTTGTTTTTACCCGACATTTAGCGTTTCTCTTTTAATTCGCCGGTTCGGCGAGAGAGAGAGAGTGTGACGATTGTGCTCTCTCGCTCTCTGGTAGCGGGAGTACAGCTTGCTTTAAGATATTTTTGTAAAATTTAATTTGTTTGTTTTCTTCGTTAGGTATTAGAAAATGTTGGTATTACTAAAACCTGCATTTAATAAAGGTTTGAAATAGGGACATAAACTAAAAACTCGAAAACAAAGATAACCGCAAAGCCACGCAACTCTCTCCCGCTCTCGCAAACATCTGCCGCCTTCATTTTTGCGCACCTCTGCCGACGACGACTGCGGCAGAGGCAGCAAAGTACGTGGAGAGCGGCGCCTTCTTTTTTGGCAGTCGACGCTGCCTCGTTCACTCTTCTTTGAAAATTAAACGACAAAGGTTGGTGAACGCAGGGCAAAAATAAAAACTGGTTAAAAAACATATTTGTGAATTAATACAAGACATATAAAGTGATACACTGGCTGCTTATTGCAGCAAATAGTTCGTTTTGAAGTTGACTTAAAGAGAGCAAGTTTAAAGAGAGACATGAGATGGTCAATTCGGGTTAAACACGTTACAAACCTAATGTAACCGAAACTCTAAAAATATTTGTATTTAAACAACAAAATAAGTGTTTTATTTAAAACCTATACCCGTAAATGCCTTTTGCCTAGCATTTTTCACGTTTTTTCCTGCCTTTTGAGAGCGCGCCGCAGTCTGTACCAATATAAGGCAGTCAAGTCATCGCATACAGAAAAAGTGTGTTGCCATTTCGCTGTGTTTCAAACTCGCCCTCGACATTAGTGCCTCTGTTAGCCAAGTAGCAGGCCCTATAGGCCCGCTAAATAGTTGCAGGTACAAGGTTCATACATATTTCTTCATAGAACGCCAATTAATTTCATATTAATTATTAAGTGGCGCGCGTTCATGCAGATAGAAGAAGCAAGAGGCGCGAGAGAAAGAGCGCGCGCGCGCGCATTTTTTCGGTTTTTTGCTTTAACAGAGTGCTTGAGCAGCAGTAGTAGTATATCCATCTCTGTTGTGCCGCCATTGCTTTGCTCGGTGGTGGCTTGCCATCCCGGTCTACTGCCGCTGCTGTTGCGTTTGCCTTGCTTTGGTACAGGAACATGGCGCGCTGCTAAAAAGAAAATGTGCTGCCCATAACATTTTGAATTAAAGTTTTGGCTGAGGAGTACAGTACTACAGAGCAGTTATAGGTTATTAGTTAATAAATCTATATTTAAAGAAAAAACAACCTAATAAATTGTTTGAAAGAAGTTTAGGCTTTCGTTGAAAAATGTCTTTTTTGCAAGTAATTATATTTGACGAAGTGAAGTACTCCTCCCAGGTTTTAGATATGCTGAAATAGTTTTAATAAAGTGCAAAGTTAAAATCAAAAGCACTAAATACACACAAACCCTTAGTTAACTAAATTCAACAATTAATATAGTTTAATTATTATGGTCCGACTATTTAAAAATGGTCTTAAAAAACATATTTTACTTAAAACCCTAATAATTTTCTTCATTTTTTACTTGCAGCTCGAATAATAAATATCTAGTTGTAACACTTGTTAAATAGTATCAACAAAAACAAACTAAAATGGCCGATAAACCAAAACGCCCACTCTCCGCCTACATGCTGTGGCTCAACAGTGCCCGCGAGTCGATCAAACGTGAGAATCCCGGCATCAAGGTCACCGAGGTGGCCAAGCGCGGTGGCGAATTATGGCGGGCAATGAAGGACAAGTCGGTAAGTAAAACTGACAATCCATAAATCCAAAAACTTCTACTTACCTTCTGGTTTTTCCATGTTGTTTAGGAGTGGGAGGCCAAGGCTGCCAAGGCCAAGGACGACTACGATCGGGCTGTCAAGGAGTTCGAGGCCAATGGCGGCGGCGGTGGTGCTGCCAACGGTGGAGCCAAAAAGCGCGCGAAACCAGTGAAAAAGGCGTCCAAGAAGAGCAAGAAGGATGAGTCCGACGAGGACGATGATGATGAGAGCGAGTAGACTGCTCATCATCCACCCTCTATAATCCATCATCACCAAGTCACACACAAGAACACAAAAACACTGGTGGCAACACCACATCCAGCATCAACATCCACATCCACAAACCCCCTCAATATCATAGAAAGTCCAACGGGTCATTTTATTAACTACACCAACAAACAAGATCTGTTGATGTTGCACACGAGAGAAGAACAAAAATACGCGAAAATAAGCAAAATTGTATTTATAAATATGAATTTAAGTTTATAATAGTCGTTTCTTTTATAATACGCATAAACAAAGAGGGACAGCCAACAGAAAAGGAAAAGGAAGTCGGAAAAAGAAAGGATGTTCGTTAAGGTATTTTTTTTTTCGTTTCTGCGGCGTTTCGTCAGAAAAAAGCGTTACGTTTGGGAAATTGAAGAGAAAATATATCTTGCATATAAATTTTGTAAAGTAAACGATAACATAATTCCATTAAAAATAAAAAAAAAAGATACAAAAATGGCTAGTTGTTCTCTCGGTAGTTGGATGAAATCGATTCGATTCAGATCTGTAAATGTTATGATCGGGCTGGAGAACGGGAAGTACAATCTTCACATACAAAATACACGAGAAACAAAACAAACAAAACACCGCAAATGAAACAAACGAAATATCGCTCAGGTCTTTTCGTCATTTTGCATTAAACATAATGTTTAACGTCTTGTTAGCTAAAGATGTATAGCAGACAGAAGCAGATGTAATTGCATTTAATCGGTAGTTTTAATTGATAACTATACGTATAATTTAATGAGAAAACAAACAAATAAAATAAATACATTTTTTAAATGCGTTGAAAATCGAGCTACTTTTATTTGCTGCCAGAGGAATAACAAGACTTGGATGGTTTTGGTACTTTAAACGTTTTATTTTTTAAATATGAATTCAATAGTTAATTCATGCTACACTAAAATGATTTCTTTCGTTTCCGTTAGTTATGCAAAAATCAATGCAATGATTTCTGTGGGATTTAATGTACTATTATGTTTATTTAACTATTTATCGTATGGGATATCGCATACAAATACCATTAGAGTTCTTGTCTTCACTTTGGGATTATCGAATGCTAACAGATCTACAACGGAAACAAACCCTTTAAACAATATCTTTTCAATGCAATTGGTTTGATGATTCATATTCGCGTTGGGGGTTGCTCAGGTAAGAAAAACATGTAGAGATTAAAGCTTAAATTTAGATACACGCTCCTTAAATGGTGCCAGATCTTACAAATTAAGTATGGGGGCCTTTGTTTTTGGTTTTCCACGGTGTACAAAACAGAACGGTGTTGCGCTTATTTATTATCGAGCTTAGACTACGAAGTTATGGCAAACAAAAAACAAAGTCTCTCTCAGAGCCTTTCCACAAAAGAAACAAATAGGTCTAGAAACGAAAGAAGCTCTTCCAAAAGGGTTTCCACAGGGAGGCGGTTGTCTTAGCACCCACCGAAGATCGCCAACCATCAGCCAACCAAACTAGTCCATCTAATTGCGATTCAGCCAGAATATTGTCTTCAGGACGAAGTAGGCGAGGCCCAGACAGTAGACGATCTTCTCGCGCTGCGTGCGCTGCTCGTTGTTGATCTCGATGTTCAGCACCCGGCGATTTAGCTTGGCCAGCTGGCGCCTCAGATACAGGATCTCCTCGTGGGGCGTCAGTTCGCCCATGGGCGTGCCCTCGCGTAGCGCCAGCATCGAGGCATCCAGGTTGTTGTGCTGCTGGTTCAATTGCGACCGCTTGCTGGCACTGCCCGTGGTCAACTGGAAGACGAGAAGAGTTTGTGGATTAGTGACTCAGCAAAGGATAGGTTTATTCCGGTTATACCATCTCAGTGTTTGGTAAGGAAATATGGGGAAAATGGGGGATTTTGTAAACAAATATCTTCCCATTTAAACAGTCTTCCCCTTAATATTTGTAAGATTCAGATTGACATTTACACCCAAAAAAAAAAACAGAAAGTAAGTATTAATAACTATAACTACGGTCAAAGGCCTTAATTTTAAATTACAAGTTTTATTTTGATACTTTTGTGGTATTAATTGTTAATTTGTCATCTCACTGACAAATTTTTCATACCCAATTTTTTAAAATTCATGCAACAATAGTTAAGTTTCTAGAAACATTCTTTTTTGAGTATAAAGCTATAAAATGAGGAATGAACATATCTAATGTTCAGTTGGTTAAAAAGCGTAAGAATTTGGTGAGCATTTTCTTTCCCTAAAACCAAATTTTTCGTAGATTGTTATAGAAAGAAACTTGTAAAATAAAAAAACCTGGTAAAATTAATAAATTATTGCTTTTTGAAATGGCTTAAAGAATAAAGACCTGTATCGACTTTGAACAATGCAACAAAATACATCTGATATTATTTTTTATAGGTCGGTTTCAAGAACAATAAAATGGCATTTAATCTTAGTTTTAGAAAATGTTTACGGCTAAATAGATGGTCAAAGGTTTCCTGATACCTCCGGTATTTCTTTTTCGAAAATATTGTTAGCTGTTTAGTAAAAAAAAAAGGCTAAGACCAAACAAATTATTTGGTTATAAGCTTAGGAACTGTGCATAGCCAATCAATCAGGTGTAAAACAAAGAACAATTTTCTTTTCCTTGAAAAATCTTTGTTAGATCAGTTTTCTGTCGAACAATTAGACTTGAAACAAAATCCCCCAAAATCAAAATTTATGTATAGTCAATATTATTTTGTTGGGTCCTAGCAATGACAACCAGCCCCAACTTTGCCGACGTGAATGATGGCGAACTGCCAAAGCTGGAGCCGATTATCAATGCCTTGAAGTGCGAGCAGACGGGTCACATCATGGAGGCGATCCTGCTCTACGAGGAGAGCATCTCCAAGATGTCCCAAATGGCCGAAGCGGAGCCGAGTCGCCGCCAGCTGTGTGGGAAATACTTGAGGATGTACGAGGCGCGGGCCAAACAGCTGAGGGATCAGGTGAAGGGTCACTTGCACACCAGCCGGATGTTGGACCACATCACCATTGAACGGGGTGCCAGGGGCAGGAGCTACCAGCGGCTGTTTGGCCCGTATCTGGACGATGGCGTCCGGGAGGCCCATCTCAACGAGCCTCATCTCACGGAGCCACCGCACTTTAGGAATCTGATCAATTTCATTGAGGTGCTGGTCAAGAACTGTCGCTATCTAAAGTACATTCGCTTGACCACACAACCCGATGCGGTGGCGCCCACGAATCAGCTGCAAATGCTGCAGCAAATAAAGAACGACCTGGCCGGTGGCAACATCCAGATGAACTTCCAAATGGACGACAGCCTGCAGGATCGCAAGATTGTGCTCAGCTCGGGAGTGGTTATCAAGATTGGCAGAGGCCTCCACTACTTTGAGCCCGTGGCGGGTTCTTACAGTCTGGGCCTCTGCGATTTCGATTTCCGCAAATGCCTGGCCACCGAGGTGGACATCTGGAAGTGTCGGCCGTTTGCCAAGCGTTTAAGAAACTCGGAGGAGGTCGATTACCAGGCCGCAAGGGAGGATCGACCGGAGCCACATGCCTACTCCAGCGATTAGCAAGACTGAGAGTGAGATTTACCCACAACCTGTTGAAATTAGGTCATCCTTATCAGAGCATTACTACACATCAATAAAAGCAGCAGTTCGTTAATCTCTTAGCCGACTGAATGGGCGGCAACCGAAGACTGATCGCTACCTATTACCACTCCCGGTTATTGCATTTCGTCATGACTTGTAGGTATAGCTTTGGTAATAAGTATAGAATGTAAGAATCTGTTGCGGTTTGTATTATTTTAATGGACTAAGATACTAGTTCCCGTTTTATATCCTCTGCGCGGTAAGATAAAAATGAAGTGAAAATGTCTACAATTTTAAGGTTCAAATCCTATATTTAGCTTACACGAGAAAAAATCCTTTAATATGGTAAACAAAAAAATACTTTAAATTAATAACATAAAATGTATTTATTATTAAAAAATATTTCCGATTTAAAATAAATGTAGTAAGGAAGAATCTGGTACGGTTTGTATGATTTTAATGGATGGTAATATCGGTAAGGTAAAATTAGATTTTAATCTGTGAAAATGTCTACAATTTTACAGTTCAAATCCTAATTTTAGCTTATAATAATGACGAGAAAAAAGACTTTAATATGGTAAACAAAAAAATACTTTAAATTAATAAATAAATAAATAACTATTTCAGATTTAAAATTTTCAAACAAGTATACAATCATATATTATTCAAAAGAGGTTCTAAATTTCTACCCGTGATTGTAACTCGCGAGTCTGTCTGTAATCCCGCTGCATAATTTCTCACCTACCAGGCGCAATTCGAATTTAATTAAATTTAAACGCCAAATTTTCTATGAATAATCGAGGCTTTTTGGTAATAAAAAATAATAAAACCAGTGGTCAGAATATGTATGTATGTGTACTACTATAAATTAGTAGTTAAAAACATTACTTTTATATGTATTTACGATAAATGGAAATAATACCAAGTGGAATTAGCTTGCCTGCCGATAAGTTGTTCGTCGTATTTATTGCTCACCTGAGAGTCCGACTCAACGGAGTGGGTGTCATTGGCGTGGAATCCCATGCGGGCGGCTCCATTGGCGCGCACGTACTGCGTGGCCGAATGGCCCTCATCGTCGTCGGCGTCGTCATCGAGATCGTGGCCATATAGATGGTGGCCATTGGCCCGGATGGGCGAGCTCTCCTCGGAGGCCGAGGGAAAGTGGTGATCGGTGAGGGTGATGACACGCGGTGGCGTCTGGACGCGCACCAGTCCCACCGAGGGATTCTTGGGCAGAATGGAGTTCTCCAGCTGGATTTCCCGTGGCGCTGAGCGCGTCTCCAGGTGCTGATTGTGGCCCAGGACCACAATTCGGTCCGGCACATTCATGTCAATCTTGTCGTGGTAGTTCCAGGAGCTGATCATTCCGTTCTGGTTGGACAGCAGCAGATCCTCGTCGGAATACTCGCCAGTGGCCTTAATCCGCTTGGGAACCCGCATCTTGTCGTTGATTTCGTGGGCGAACTTGGCCTCATTGTAGAGATCGTCGTCCAATCCATTGAACATGGGCGTCGGCGATTGCGGGGTCACCATGGCGATGTCCTGGGGATTCCTTAGATCTGATCCTATATATTTATATTTTATTGGCTATTCCGCAGCGCTACTTTTTGGTCTCTTCGTTGATTTGCAATTTTTTCAAGGAGGCGGCCGTGAGAGAGACGTTTTCATAACAAATTAATAACCAGAATTTTGTCAGCGCAACATTTTCATTCGCTTTGTATGTTTGTGTGTGTGGTGCGGTTGTTGTTTTTCAAATGCTTTCTACTTACATTGCTCTCGACTGACAGGAAAATTTCCGGGAAATCCGTAATAATTTACAATTTTTCTCTTGCCTTTTGTTATGTGTGTGAAGAGCTTCGGGCCAGAATAGTGCTAAAAAATCCCAAACGTGACAGGCACTGTTCTGCTACTCGGTAGCGATGGCATTCTAGCCCTTTCCGAGCCAAAATTATAATAAACAGTGGAGAAATATTGATCAACTATTAATATTGATTGGATTAAACAATTATTTCTGTACAATTTCTTTTTGATTTTCTAATTTGTGATTTATTTAAAATTAATATGTTACTGTTAAGATTAACAGAGTTCAGGTCAAGTATTCAAGCTTCCTAGACATTAAATATTTTCAGATTGGTTGTTTCCGATCCGAAAAATGATGCTTTGCCATTATCTTATGGTATAGGTGTACAGTTTTTAAATTGGTTTGCTAATAAGTTGCATAGTTTTAAGCACTCAAGGTGTTAAGATTTAAAGAGGTAACTACTTTTTTATATAAATGTTTTTAAGGCAGAGAAAGTAAGCTTTAAAGTATTTTGTATATATCTTAATATGTGCTAAGCAAATTTTATTATATTTTTATGTAACAGCACTTTTTTTGATATGAACCATGAAAATCTAGTTACTTGGGCCGCTCAGCCATGACTGTTAACTTTACGCCGCGTGCTGTTAGGTACTAAGTGCGCGTTATCCAACACTAAAAAATACCAACGCAAGAGGGCCGCGCTCATTTTACAACAAAATTTCCTCAGCCGCCGACAACCAGACGCGCGTCTTTTTTATAAAGTGATATATGCTGAATTTACGCCTTTTTATCGGCCCCAGAGAGTAAAAAACTATAAGTAGCTTAAGGCAGCAGTAAGTAATCGTCTTGTAAAGTGGTAAAAGTGGCTAAAACCAAGTTTATCAGAGTTTTAAAAGTGCAAGAAAAGTACAAGTGAGAGAAAGAGAGGGAGTGCTAGTTCTGCCAGCGTCGCTGCCTGCAGAATGTACAGTTGCGGCAGCGACGTCGCTTTTCTTTTCGGCGCGCAAACACAAATAAACACATAGGCATAGAGAAAAACGCAGAAAACCACAGAATTACTTTAGTACATTAATAGATTGTGTGTATTTTGTAAACTATAAATAAAATATAGCACTCGGCGGAGCAGAAACTAGAGATAATAACCGGTAATATTCGTTTTGCAGCACGTTTTTTTCCCGAAACACATCATGGATCGACGCCTGAGACGCCCGCGTCGAATGGACGAAGTGTCCGGCGGTCCAGTTTTGCCGCAGTCAACGCAGCCCAGCCTTTTGCCGGTGACCCGGCGGGCGGGATCAATCTCGGCGGCCGCTGCCACCGGCCCCGCCACCCGGACACGTGCCTCCCCATCGCGCACCAAGGTCGCCGCACCGCCCTCGCCGGAACTCGGACCCCGCACCCGCCGGTCCAGCCGACCCAGGTCATCGGTGGGTCCGCTGACCGGATCGGGACCAGCAGCCGGTTCCTCGCTGCCCATCAAGGCCGCCATCAAGGCACGCACGCCCATTCGAGAGGTTTCAGAGGTAAGTTCCACCGCGCAACCAGTTCTCGTGCACAGAAAGAAATCAATTCGATTCTTTCACACACATAAGTTTTTGATTTAGTTTCGATATCATCAATGAAAGCTCTGTGGTATTAAGTGACAAATATTGCCGTTTATTGGTGTCAAATAATTATAAAGTAAACCTTTATGAATCTTTAATACTTCGAAGAACCTTTTGTAGCATAAAACAGTATTTTAACTTAATTTAGAACTGCAAAAAAAAAAATATTCACACATATTACATTCTATTCTATTAAAGTATTTTTATTTGTATACATGTTGATAGTCAACTATTATGATATACAAAATCAAATATATGTAATTACAAACATATTTTCTTTCCCAAGAAAACTTTATCTACTTTATCTAAATATAAAAACCGAGCATATTTTTCTTCCTGTGTTGGCGTACTGCTTATCAGCTCAAGGGCTCGAGGGGCCACATTAGCTACCATGAGGGAACTTCAGTTGGAGATTATAGACTTGTACTTCCCGAATATATCTGCTGATTGTAGTTGTTAACCATGCAATCAAGAAGTCTAGGATAAGCTTTTATTTCCAAATTATACTTTCACGTCTATGTTCAGCTGACTACCTAAAGTGTACAGTAAACAAGATAGTACTTATATCAATGCTTATATATTATATATATGTTTATCTTTATCATAATTTTGAGTTAAATATTAAAAAAAAAAGAAAAGTTAAATGGACTTTGCATAGTTTGCTTTTATGAAACAAAGTATGTGTCTATCGACCTTTTTAATTTGCATTGATCAAGTTTCAATATCAAGATATTTTTTAATAAACCCCAGTTATTCGGGTTTTTTATTTTCGATTCCGATCAAAGCCTAACTAACCAACCCCTTAATTTACAGATACCGTCTCCCGTTCGTCAGTCGACCAGCAGTCTGCCCATGACGTTAACCACCAACACATCCAGCGGTGCCCCAAATAAATTCTTCAACACAAGCTCTGTGAACAGTGGCAACAACTTCAGCAGCACCATTACCACCAGCACCACCACAACATCCGAGCGCATCGAGATCCGTGCAGAGGGCGATAGCGAGGTGGACACGGACTCCATTCGCAAGCGCATCACCGAGCGACTTCGCCGATCGGTCTCGAAAACCATATCGAATTTGGCTGGCACACCAGTGACAAACACCGAGGAAGGTAGTCGCTACAGCCGGAGTGCATCCCGATCCGTATATGACGACGAGAAGTCCTCGAAGCGCAGCTATTCCACGGGAGAGGAGGATATCGAGGAGGAGGAGGAGGAGGACGATCTGGAGGAGGACCAGTTCCGTAGCTTCAATGTTACGCACAAATCGGGCACACCGGCAGCCGAAACATCTTGTCGCCAGTTGAAGGCTCCCCAAGAATTTGGCGGCTGGCTGGGCGCCTTCCTGCTGTTGCTCCTTCTGCCCACCGCCGTCTACTATCTCACCTGGAGCTGCACGGCCCGGAATGCCTGTCAGTTTAAGCACCTGAATCTGGGCATTCTGTTGGATGTGAACTATTTAACGCGTCAGGTCTTCCAGCCTCGAGTGGTTGCTGCGTTTGCCGCCTATCAGGCTGTGGTGTTTCTGCTAGTGGCCCTGCTGCCAGGTCGAAGGGTTCATCTTACCCGCGAGACCTACAAGTTTAACTGTCCAGCAGTTGCACTTACCCTTTTGATCGCTGGCGGAATAGCCGAATATCTAAAGTATCCAGTGGTGTCCTTCGTTCTGCGACACTATCTACGTTTCTGCATTTTTGGACTCGTTGGCGCCTTTGTGGCAGCCGCCTGGAGTTACTGGCTGGTGGACACCGCCAAGTACAATGTGCTCCGTCAGACTCTGACGAATGATTATGGCAGGAGTGGCAGTTTTGTTGTCGATTTCGCACTGGGCAGACAGCTGAATCCCAAGTGGCTGGGACGCGTGGATTGGAAGCAGTTCCAGTATCGTCTCTCCCTGGTGAGCACTTTGCTCTATGCCGCCTGTTATATCTACCAGACGATCGTGTGGCCCCAGAAGCCGCAGCTGGAACAGGAGGGATATCTTTACGTGGCCAAATACTACTGGAGTAATGTGAACTATGATGCGGGCACCCTGCTCTCGGCCAGCTGTTTGCTCTTCTACGTACTGGACGCGATCGTATTCGAACACCATTTGAGCTCGTCCTTTGAGTTGCAACACGAAGGATACGGTTGCTTGTTGCTGCTGCGCTACGCAGCCACGCCCTATCTGCTGACGGCGGTTACCAAGTATTTCTACGAACAGCGTGTACCCATCACCTGCTGGTATGCTCCGCTGGGAGTGGCTGCTCTGCTATCGCTGGGATTGCTTGTGAAGCGTTTCAGCTGCGCCTACAAGTACAAATATCGGGTGAACGCGCAGAGTCCGATCTTCGCCAACATCGAGACGATTCACACGTATCAGGGAAGCCGTCTGCTGCTAAGCGGAATGTGGGGATGGGTCAGACAGCCGAATTACCTGGGTGACATCCTGGCCCTGCTGGCCCTGGCTGCTCCAATGGCTCTGCGTCCGGCCTGGCCTCCTGTTTTGGGTCTCAGTTTGATCGTCGTGCTGCTGCTACATCGCGCCACTCGGGCGAACGCCAGGAATCAGGCGCGCTATCACTCCTCATGGCATCGCTACAGCACCCAGGTGCGCAGCTACATCCTGCCCAGGATTTACTAAGGACTAAGGTGTGGCGCAATAGTTGACTTTTTATTTTATTTTGTGGCCATTATTTTTATTTTTATTTTAATTTCGATTTCAGTTTGTTTTTATTTTATGTTTCGAATTTGTATATATAAATACGTATCCATACTGTTCTAAATCATAAAATATGCCTCCGCCCCGCCCCCATTGATTTTAGTACAAAATTTGATTTTACTCTCGCTGACGAACATTTAAACACAACAAATCTTCACACACATAAGCTTAGTTTAAAAGACTCCACACACATCTAGCTGTACGAATTTAAACGCTTAAGATCTAGACACCTTAAATATTCATTACTTTATAATCTATATGATATGCATATAGTAAGTACTTTTTACACGAAAATATGAAATAAAAAATCCTTAGTTTCTATGCTATAAAGAAACGCACAACTATTTGAGTTAATATTCGGGACATTTCTTGCGGGTTTCTAAAACTTAAATATTCAATTTAAAATTAAATATGCCGGTTATATTTTTTTACATGATTTTTTCTCATGATAGGTTAAATTTAATTAAATATGACTATGGACTGGACTGCAGTACATGTGGTAACGATGAGAGCCAATAACAAAAATTAATTGGTTGCATATAAAATTTTTTTTTAATTTAATCTCTTGGACTCGGTTTTGTTAAATGGTCCCAATCATTATAAAAGTGAATTTTTTAAGTCGAATGTTTATTTTTCGTCACAAAATCTGATCAAACATTTTTTTATGTTAAAAGTGCGGTCGTCACGACATTTTTAGCCCGTTAAGACGGTTTTTGTTTGATTTATTAGAGAAACAAAAACTTAATTAATGTAAATGTTATACAAATTCAGTTGACTGAATTCATTATAGCTCACACTTATTTAACCAAGTCATTTGAATCTGGATAAGCTCCTAAAATCGATTTTCACTTAGAACTGGACTTTAAGGTCAAGCACACCCCCAAGTTGATTTCAAGTTGAATCAAAATACAAAATATGATGGGGGCATAAATCATGGCGCTTGCAGAAAACTGCGGCTGATGATGATGATGGATGTCAGTCAGCGAATAAAAGAAGTAATTTTGTGTAAAAATACCCGCACTACCGCCTTTTCAGTTGGCCGGACGTTCCGCATAAAGTTCTGGGTGTGGGCGGTGGGCGTGCCCCGAAGCCGTTACAACTGTTAATGACATTTACGAATGTTTGTGAGCAACCAAAACTTGGTAGCTCCCATCCGTTCCCTCTTCCCCCCACACACACATAATGCCAATATAATGACGAAGTCTGGGCTTGCACCTCCAAAAGGACAACCCTCCTGAATGTGCACAGAGAGAAAACCACTCATTATGCGAATTATACGGATTTGTTTTTTATTTAACAAGTAAGTTTAAATTAATATGATTTTTTGATGATTTATTTAAATAATTTTAAACTATGTTGCTGCTAAATTAAATTAAAATTAAACCACATTTTTCCATTAGCAAGTTAAATATTTGTTTTATCTTGGAGGGCATTTTGTCGAAAGTTATTTAATATAATTAAGATTATTTTAAAGAATTTTTTAAGTAAATTTAAGAGAATATTAAAAAAAAGGTCGTTAACAAATTTTTCTCTGTGTAAAATGCCACAGAAAAATGACGCGGAAACTGTCAAAAAAGAAAGCAAATGGCTGGTGAAAAAAATCATGGAAAACGGCTAGAAAAACCACAGCGTCGACATTTGCGGTTTGGTATACAAATGACCGACCGCCGCCGACTGCCCCGCCCACTTAACGAAAATTATACAATAATGGCGTCAACATTAGCAAATTGTGCGCTTGTCGCAGTTCCCATTTTGGACATTTTCCAAGCCCCACCCACGATATTTCTTCCTTCGCTCTCCTTTAATGAGCGTTTAAATTGGCGGATCCTGGCTGTTGCCTCGCCGTTTTGATTGATTGCTCGGTGTTTTTTTTTCTTCTTTTTTGTGAAAATGCATAAATGATTTATTCAAGAATGCGAATTAAATGCTTGCATTGTAGTTGGAAGCAATAATAAAGAATGAATTCAATTTCAATAAATTTAATGATGAAATAACATAAAAGAAAGTTTTAATAAGAGCCTTGCCAATTAGCCGAAATTATTGGTTTGGGTGCAACAGAAACTTCAACATTTCTTAAACGTTTTGCTTTAATTGACTTTAAATTTTCAGTAAACATTGTTACAATACAACATTTATATATTAACACATTATACAGTAGTAATTGGTGAATTTACATACATTCATGACTTTGTCTTATAAATAATTCAGGCCTACTCAACACATTATTTTGGACTGAAAATTAAATTATTAAAATAGTGTCGATTTTAAAATTCATTGAATGGCAAGTTTGCAGCATTTTTGCTATTGTCTTTACAAAAAAATAAAACCGATTAACTTTTTATGATTTAAAATAATAATTAACAAGATAAGAAGCAAACTTCGGCAAGCCGAAGCTTATATACCCTTGCAGCTATTGGAATAATTTAATATTCTTGAAAACATTAAAATTTCGATTATATACATATAAGTTTGAAAATATTGAAGCTTTGATGATTTTCAGCTCAATTATTCGATCGTTCCTATGGCAGCTATATGATATAGTTTTTCGATTTGAATAAAATTAAAAGCGTAAATCTGAACTATCAAATTACAAATTACAATGTCCAAAAAAATTTAAAAAAAAATTCAAAAATATAAAAGTTACATTTTTTTAAATTTATATTTATTTTAATATTCCGATTGTTCCCATGGAAAAGTTTTATGCAGGCATTTTTCTTCATTATAAAAATAAACAATAGAAAACTATTTCTATGTTAAAGAAAAGTAGATTTCTATATCTGTAAAATGTATCTAAACTCAAAGACGCTTTTAATCATTTGAGAAGAGGCAAGTGTATTTATTTTCTAAAAGCAAGGGACCTATAAATATAGAAAATTAGGAGACAGCATAGAAAAAACACTTTAAATTTAAGAAATTTAAAACAAGGGTATAATATTTATTAATGGACTTTTTTGTTGTTTATTTTCTTTAAAGTTTCCATGAAATCTACAAAAAAGAAACTAAGTTCGTTTCGAAGCTCAGCCAAACAAAATGGGAAAAGTAATGGAATGAAAAACTTTACGGCGGTATAAACAAACATACTCGTGCTTGCATATATGTAGTATTCATAAATCACGCCTTTTGTCAGCATCAGATAACGTTTGGCATAAATTTAGTTTTAATTGACTTAATGCTTGTACTTTTATCAAATAATTAATTACAGAGCAAAGTGTGGGCAACACCCAGCCACTTGACAAGCCACTTTAAGATCAGGTAACACTTTGGCTAGGTCAAGAAAAGGAAATGCTCCTGTAGAGGCGTCTCTCTATGTGTTTTTCTTTATTTTAATAGTACAACTTACTTGACAGTGGGCGTTTACAGTCTCTGCAGTTAGTTTGTCAACCAGTTTGCTGGTGGTGTTTGCTTTGCGTGGGTGTAACCCCCCTTTTTCATTCAATTATCTAGCCTTCTATACATTTTCTTGGCAGCAGCCTGCAGTGCACTGCATTTTGTTGGTTTGTAATTGCCCCATGTCAACAAGTAAGATCGATATCGCTGCCACAATTTCAGTTCTGACATTTTTGCTTTTGTCGTTGGTCGAGCAATAAAATTGTTATTGATTGTAATTAGGTTTGTAATGGGGTTATTTATGTGTGTCAGCCGTTGTTTATGTAGTGCATTGTAAGTGCTGACTTCGGGCAAAAATCGTGATTGATTGATGGCTACTAGTAATTGGTTGAAAATTGAAAATAACTTTTTGCAGCAATTTAAATCAATTTTCCCTAGGACAGTGACAGCGATCGAAGTGCTCTTACTTTTACTTAATTAAATATTGCAATTGACGTAAAATGTTGTTAAAATGTATATATTTTTCTTGAAATTTTATACAGTTATAGATATGTTCCTTTTTTTTATTATTTTAAATAACAAAATTTTAATATTTTGATTTATTAAATGGTTATTTTAGCTATATTAAATTAAATTCATTACCAGGAAATTGAAATTAAAAGAATGCCTGTTAAGAACTTCCATCTATTTTAAATAACCAAAAGGGACATAATTAATTCAAGGAACGAGTCGCCCAAGTATCACTGACCAATACTTTTCAAGCAATTTGCGCAAGGACCTTGAAAAAGGCACTTGAAAAGTTCGTTGGGCCAACAATGGGACAATTGAAAATAAGACAGGACACGTTTGGTGCCGATCCTTTTGTTCGCTGGTGTCACATTCATCTTCATCAGTCTAAAGTTTGCATTTAAATTGGTAATTAAGACAAAATGAAAGCGAAAGCGGCAAGAAAAATGCGAAGCGAAATAAGCACAAACACAAAGGCGCCAAACAAGATGACATTGAGAAGTAAAACATAACGAAAAGAGGAAACAATCAACTACCAGAATGATAAGAAATGTGTGGCACAGGAAGTAAAATGCGCCACGGGGCAGGATATCAGTTCAAAGTGCGAAATTGGTTGTCAGAGCTGGAGGAAATCAACTGCACTGCACCAACGGAATGTTAAGAATTCACATTTTAAAATTGGGAACGTAAAAGAACATATAAAGAAATATTTGCTATTACAAAAAAATAATACTTTGGGGCTTCTTTGTCTGACTTGAATAAAAGAGAATTCTATTTTAGTGTAAATAATTAAAATTGTTGAAATATCTGTCTTCCGATATTTATTTAATTTCAATTTAACATTCACATGGACAAATAATAACATTTAAACAAATTGTCTAAAAAAATACAGTCGATTACAATGGCCGTCAGCTCGTCAATATACACAACTTAAACAAAAAAAATCGTTGAACAAATTGTACCTATTGTTTATCTAAAGATTATCATTACTAATTTGTATTTTAAGATTCTTCTTAAAGCCACTTAAAATTTAAAACATTTTTAAAAAGTTTTAAGACTTGATAAGGTTAAATCCTTCAAGTGTAAATCTGTCAAATCTCGGCGAACGTAATAATTGCGTTGCTTTTCCTAACTGCATTGCTGATACTTCTCCCACGTTATCATTTCATTAAATCGAAAAAAGAAATAAAAAAAAACAAAAACAATAAAATAGAAAATGGGGAGATAGTGGCAGCACGCCAACGCGCACGTCCTTCCATCGAACGTTGCCAATTGAATGTAAATAAGCGACTGACAGACAAAATGGCCGGGAATGAATGGAAAAATTCGGAGGAGGAAAATTCGTTGGGAAGAAGCTGAATCGTGTTGAGCAGGTCATCAAGGACAATCACCAAACTGACGACTAAGTTGACAAAAAGGCGAATAAAGCCATCGGACAGGTGACAAGCAATTTGTTAACCAATTTTGCGAATAAAGTGGAGAAAGAAAGAGAATACCATTATTT